TGTGTAAGGGTATGCAGGTGGCTTTTGCTGGCTGGGTCAGTAACCAGGGGAAACTGGGGAAGAGTTCACTTCAATAGAACAAATGGGAACAAATTGATCCACTTTCACTGCTGTTTTTGAGACGCTGTTTGAGTTAGAGGCAAAAGAACTGAAAGCTGCGAGTTTAAAAAAAAAGGTCAAAGGCTGGTGTAGCAGAACACCCTCAACTACCTTTGGACTAACACGAGAAGCCAGTTCTTCTGCTCTCTTAAGTGAAACTCAGAGCCTCAGCCCAAACACAGCACACAGTCCCACAACTTTTCACTTGTTTGAGCCAAGTGGTGCTGTGCTGGCCAGCCGTAGGTGCTTCTCACAGGGCGTCAACTTCTTAACAGTTCATCTGTTAAACAAATTCAAGGCAAAAACAGATTCAGGACTCTAGGGCAGAAAGTCCCACAAGCATCCTGGCTTTAAGGAAATAGGTATCTGGGACTGTATGGAGTCTCACGGTACCTGTGCGAATGCAAATTACCCCGAAGGTCCTGACAGGTACACAAGCTCCGTCAGTGTTGTCTCCTTGATGCTGCGAGTGTCCTAGTCTTCCACACATGTTCATGAATACAGTGATCTCCAAAAGCCGCTGCATAATGAAAGAAATCTACCAGCAATAGTGACTAAATATTGAACAGACTTCTGTTTTACGTCAAGTTAATCATTTGGATTTGAGCTCATTCAAGTAGTTTTACTATGTGGTCAAATATTTTCCATCAGCAAACCCTTACACAGAGGGTTATGTGACACTGAAATTGTATTTTGGCGTCATAGTCATTCTGCATTTCAGTGAATCCCAGCGAGGATTCAGCTGCAAAACACACCTGGCCCTCAATTTTCTTGCACATGTCTGGATAAATGACTTCCAGTGAACAAGAGTATCTGTCTTGCAAAAAGAAACTCTCTGCAAACGCCATGCTCCTGCAACAGAACGCTGTGGACAGACGGCAGCATTCAGCTGTTGTTTCTGTCTGCAAGGACTTCAAAAGAACATGATAGCAAAGAGAAACAACCACCGTAGGACTCTAATTGCTGTTTACAACAAGCTTGAAATAGATGGAAATACATTTCAAACAAAGCAGGCCACATAAATTTGAACTCATTTCATACCAAAAACTAATAACAGTGAGGAGCTACAAGATTAAAAGAAAAGTTTGTGGCCCTCCAAATTCTCTTGGAACTTCCAGTATGAATGAGACAGGAGCATACGTCAGCATAACTGTGCAAGCTGAGTGCTGCTTAAGTTACAAAGAGAAGATCTCATCATTAACAGTTTTGTGTACCTCGTTTTAATTGCCGCTGCAGCGTATGTATTTCTCAATTTGCTTTACAGGGCTTGTGATACACAAAGGGAAAGCTAAACACAAACTTCAAAAGTACATTTAAGATGTAACTGGCTATTGAGTTCCGTTACTGTAATGCTACAAAATATAAAGAGTAGAAACATTGTATCATTTCTTGTTCGAATATACAAATTTAAGTTTTTTTCATTTAGAAATGAGAAATTAAAACTAAATGTAATTATTTCTGAGATCATAAAGTTTGTTAGGTGTTCAGTGACTTCCAGAAATACTGATGAACATCTCAAATAAACCTGCGACAGGCTAAACATCTTGTATCTAATCTTTGAAAAACTTAAAAAGGAACAAAAGGAAATGTCAGAGACGTGCATCGGAATGAAAACCATTTCTCTCTCTCTCTCCAGGCCAATGGCCTTGACAGAGTCATTCACCAGCCTGGAGAATGCTCTTTGACCTGAGAGGCAAGTGACACTGCAGTTAGGCGGATGCCATAAAGCGGTAATCTGTGCTGTGCTGCATCACCATGGTAACATGCGTGCCAATGAGTACTGTGGATGGCAGGGTGCGCCTTTCATGGCACCGCTACACCCATCTGACTCACTCGCACAAACACACACGCTGTCATTATTACAAAACATCATTAGCAGTATGCCAGGCTGCGCTGGTGCCAAAGTAGCCGTCAGGTTGATCCCAAACCCACAGACAGGTCACAGATTATGCTGAAAGCATAACGAGTCAGGGGAAAATACTCTTCCCTTCTCTCTTCAGCTCCTCTTCACTCTCCTTCTGTTGTAATAGCTCCTTTTTCTCTCCTTTAACCTCTCCTCTCTGATCAAGTCCTCTAAAATCTCAGTCTCTCAGCCAGCTGGCATAAGGACACAAACCTTCCTCCATTGTGGCAGAGTGTCAGGCCCGAGAGAGCGAGAGAACCAGTGATGGAGGGAGGGGGACGAGTTCGCTGAAAGCAACAGTGATAACTGAAGGCAGGAGAGGAAGTACCGAGGAAGAGAAAAGAGAAGAGAAGAGATGACAAGTAAGGACAGCAGGTGGACAAAACAAGCTGAGTGGACCAAAAAAAAAAAAAGTAGAAAAAGGAAAGATAATTGAAAAGAAACAAGGAGATAGAGGACAACAAGATAAGTGGATAACAGAGAGTGACAGGTACCGTCTTATCTTTTCTTTCTGTTTCACTCTCTATTTCCTCCTTTTTAAAAATCCCACTGATACATCATTAGCATTCCTCAGCAGTCAGCATGCATTGTTGTGCATGCACGGATACAAACAAACTTGCATGCCCTTGAATCCATTGTGCAAAACACACAAACACACACACACACACACACACACACACGCACACACAAAGTCATTGCTGCTGGATGAAATCCCTGAAGCTCCAAAAAGTCAATAGTTTTTCAAAATTGACATAAATGGGATATTTTAAGCTTCACTGTAATGGATCTGGGGAGTTTCATCTTGTTTTCTCAGGATCAAGCCCCAGCCTGCTTGATAAAGTTACCCACTTCATCAACAAGTACAGTTTTCTGTCAGACATAAATATGACAAAACATATTCTAGCGGTAGGAGGTTTTCACATGTCAAGAATGGGACATCTGCACAAACTGCCGTGCCACTGAATCCCATATAAAGCTATCTAATTCAGCACTCTATACACATACATCTAAACAAGACATCGGTAAAGGAAAATGACAGCACCACGTGCTCCTTTTGTACACTCCACCAAGTTCAAATCAGCAACTCGTCCTGTGTATCTTGATGAAGTTCAGGCTACATCAACACTGCTACGTTTACACCGAGCGTCCACACTAGGCCGGAGTTTCAGAGCACCGAAAAAGAAGGAGTTTAGAAACACTCCCGAAGCCGGGTAAGTTTGAAAACTCCGGGGTTACCTCCTAGTGTGGAGGGGTGTAACCGCATAAGTTTTAAAACAATGACGTATACACCCGCACTCGCTATTTAGTTGGGTCTTAGCAGTCACGACGTGCCCTTCCCTGATTCGTCACACCCCTATCACGTGACCCCCTGTGAGCCTTGATTATCGATCGACTACCAGGTTAATGCAATATGGATAACGGATTACAGGCGTGGCTAACCTTGTTGTCTATAATAGCAGCTGTTGTGTAGGTAAATTCTGCATTTTATAACTCTACCACTGCCGACATGCAGAGGAAGCAGCTGTTATTAGAGCGATTAACGAAAACATAGTAGTGTGGATGAAGCCTGAGTGTGGTGTGAGGTTCAGACTTCATTAATAATGCAGCCAGGGAGTGATGACCAGGAGCAGTGATGAGAGGAGCACTGACAGGACAAGCGTAAGGGTTTACCTTTGGTCAAACTTTTGTTTGAAGGACTAGTTCACCCACGGTGCACAAAATCACATATTGTTCAGCTGATGAAGATGCATTGCAAGCCGATATTATATTGTTAATAAGGCAATCCTAACCTTGGTGGAGTAGAAACCATATCCAAAGTATATTTAATAAATGATTATTTTTCACATCTCTCTTACTTGCAGTCGTAGTTCTGCCCAGTAGTTTCTGGAACAGGAGCCACGTACTTAGAGTGGAAAATATAGGATTTCCCTGAATTTCTATTTAACATATCCAATTAACTCGTTAGTCCTTACCACACCACCCTTTCCAAAATGATATGAAATTCTGGACACATTTCACAACTACATGATGGTTACAAAAGAAGCTGAATGTGTTGCAATCTATAAGGTTTTTTTTTTTTTTTAAAGTCTGAGCATGGTGTAAGCACAAACCCAGAAAAAAATGGCACAGCCAGCAGTATGTTGTTTGATTTTTACAACTCTTTGAAAAAAGGGGAAGTGTCCGCATTAGGAAGCTGTTGGCTATTCCCTTTTTATTTGAAGGACAATTATATTCATATCATGTTTAATCTCCCACCTCTAAACCCATCAATAAGCCCTTACATTGATGGGTTTGTGGAATAGAATAGCAGAAGAATAGTTCTCATTTATCACAATTCACCTGTCAAGAATACTGGAATTTCCCTGCAATGTAATAGTCCCTGTTCTCATGAACACTTTGTCCCTGCAATAACCCATTTGTGTGCAAGTCTTGACTGAGAAAACAAGAGTGAACTCTGTTGGTGTGTTAAGTGTATTTCACACGTTCTTCAGGCCTGTGCATCAAATACAGCAAGGATCTCATAATGAGGTGATGAAATGACTTGCAATGTGTATATTATTATTATAGTGTGATTATAGTCATAGTAAACCATGACTAAATAAACCATTATTAAACAAATGAACACACATGAAGAAATTAGCAGTCTAAGAAAAGTATTTGTTTTAGACATCTGTGGACATTAGTTTCCAGTAAGAGTTGAAAGAATCTGTTTTTTACCCTGGAGATAGGAGTTTGACAAAATAAGCGTAACTAAAGGTCCATTTCCTTCTACCAGGGCTTTATAATCGCACATCATGGTATTCATCAGAAGATGTTACGTACTTAGGTCACATGATGAGAACAGAGTCAAACTGGGAAAAAGCTAGAGTGTGGACTTTGAGTTGTGATCATTTTCTCAAACTTTCTCCAGTACCATATACATTTACAAGAAACACATACTCTGTTAAATACTCTTGATTTTTAACCTGTCTATCACAAAAAAGTACAACATGCTTACCTTGGGCTCCATGGAAATAAAACTATGGCGACCAAGGCTGGACAAAGTCGACCTCTTGATGGTCCGGCTATGGAAGAAGTGATAGTGGTCTTTGAGATCCCCAATCTGCAAAACACATGTACAGACTTAAGAAACATATTTATTCATTCCGTAACCCTTTCTACCTCAACATAGTGCTGGACAAAATCAAATATCACATTATCTTTTACCAAATACTTTAATACAGATATCGCAACAATATTGTAGTTTTGACCATTCGTGCTTTCACAAAATATTTACACAATATGATTTTTAATAAATAATTATCAGTAATGTGGATATAATGACTAAGTGGGTCAAGTCAAACGATAGAACAGCTAAAACAGTCTCGTAACTTCAGAAAACTAAATCACTTTACTGGAAATCCGCCTTAAAAATCCCAAAAAAGTGTTATGATATATTACAATATTGCGATGTCCAAAATCTAAGTCTAGGCTCATATCACAAAATCAATATAATATCGATATATTGCCCAGCTTTACCTCAACATAACTCATTAGTGCGAACATTTTTTTTTTTTTAATTCTGCAACAGTCTCCTAAAAAGGATCATGAGTAACTGATCTGGCATATTTATTCTTGTAGTTTGCATTCGACAGATGAAATAGATCGACACATAAACTGTAAACACATCATACATACACACAACAAGAGTTTATCACAGTAGTCAAAGAATACAGTAAACTCCTGTTGAGAGTGACCGAGTACTTTAAAAGTACTGTTAGAGACGTTCCTTTGTTTTTAAAGTGGTAAAGCTACAGTTCTATGTCATGTTAAATCCCTGTATTTTCTATATACTGTATATTATACATAAAGTTTTGTTGAGTTCTTAAAAACTGTGAGAGAAAAAGAAAGGAAGAGGGACTAAAAGGTGAGACGGAAAAACAGACAAGGAGACACAAAAAGGCAGAAAGGGAAGTCTTGAATGTCACACAAATGTACAAACAGACAAAGACACTGAGTGACAGAGACACGAGGACAGAGGATCCGCAGACAGACAATGATAGGCAGACGGCAAGCTGCTTGACGGTGATTAGTTTTAATAATTGATAAAGACCATACAATCCCTCAGATGTACCCTGCCATGGCTGCCAAGGGTCCTGTGGTGCGTCACTGAGCTCCACGGCTGAGCTCCACCACCACAGAACCCATTAGATCAGCTTTCAGCTCAATGCTCATGCACGAACATACATCCTCCAACTTCCAGACTGACAAAGTGAGAAACAAGAAAGTGCCAAAAGGCCTTGCTGGATCACCTTTCAGCAAACACCAAACATCAGTGTAACACAGAGCACAAATCACATGTCGTGGGTACCGGTAATCAGATTTAAAAGCATTCTACATAAATAGTAACAAAATGTGCTTCCATAATAGGAGGCTACCACTTTGGATGCTTCTCATAGTGTAAACAGGTCTCAACATATCGTGCTTCCACTGCCTATTTAATCTACCCAACATCTGCACTGCCATTAGCAGGCCACCCTTATAGGAGTGTCTGCAAATGGAAGCTGCTGGAAAAGCTCTACATAGAGTAAAAAAATGTAATGAACTTAAGCCCAGGTCTAAACTTCTGCTGCTCTTTTTAAAGCCCTCTACATTCTGATCACCCATTTATTCCAATTAAAGTGACATTTGGAAATGATCAACCTTGATGATAGCTTCAACACCTCTTCAGGTTACATCATCACACTTTCAATGTGCAGTTTCTTAAACTATTGGCTGGAGTTGCGACTGCTATGACAACATGTGATCAGATGGACGCGCATCAGGTTATAGAGTTCATTTGATTTTCATTATGATGCAATAACCCCACATAGTGAATCACATGCTCAGCAGAAACTTTGGTTACTGGAAATTATGTCGGAATTATGTCGTAACACAATTTGCGAGGCGAAACCACCAGCTCCTCAGTGATTCATGGTGTCTCGCATCGTAGACTTTTTCACTGGCTGCATCGACACTTCCATGTCACTCGATACAAAGTCCTGCCAGTAATCACTTAAAAAGGTGATAAAACTTTTTTTCCCATGGAAATAATTCTGATAGCTGGGTCAGACTACCAAACGTCAAGGTCAAGCTCTGCCTGAATAAGTGTGGTTCAGATACATGCATGCTGTACACGTCAACGGTGGGCATCAAACAAGAAGATGAGAGCTCACATGCACTTCAAGATCCTGCAATTGCAAAAATAAATCTGTCTACAGAAGTGTAAATGGAATAACAATATAGATCTTTTGTAACGTCGTGCTACATGGTGCAGATGCTGCAGTTCCTTTACAGCTACATTGTTAAAGTGACAGCAAGGATAATAACACAATATTTATTTCACTTCCCTTGTATTTCTATGACTTTTACTTCAACTTTAAACTCAAGCTTATTCTACAAACCAAAAAGTATAATAAATAAAATACTGAATGTTTTTCACAAACACTAGCTTGGATAAAAATGATCAGCATGGATGGTATTTTCCAAAAACAACACCCTGTTGGTCTGATGCCTTTACGCACTGATTTTTTCAGTCCGACCTGCTGAAATAATCTCATAACTTGTTATTGATGTAACCGCCGCCTGTCTAAGTCTGGCTACATCATCCGCCTCCCTCTCGATGGCTCCAACTCCTCTCAAATCTCTTCAAAACACCAGTTTGAACAGATATCCACCTCTAGGGTCTTGTCAGCTGATTTAGACCCAATTTGGGCCACTGTCTTAGTCTGGGAAGGGGGCTCCATGGTTAAGAGGATTACCCAGAATTCCCCAACGAGATGCTCTCTCACTCCATGCCAACTCTTTTCATCCATCCGTTCATCTATCGTCCCTTCTTTCGCTCCCTCCTCCCTCCATATCCCAGTGTGTGTTATCTTTGTCTGTTCTCCTCTTTCCACCCCTGTCAAGAAGACTATATTGTCCCTCTGTCACATGTTTTCCATACCCATCCCCCTTTTCCTCTCTCCAACTACTTTGCTTCCGTTCAAAAGATGAAACCTCTTCTCTTTTAGCAGTCATATCCTCAAATCATTTATCACAAGCAAGCACATCCAAGCGAGTTTACTTGAATTGAAAAATACTTGTATTGTATCTCTTTACAATCTACAGTAGCGTCAAACTGAAAAAAGAACTTGCAATAAGTCCTCCCACTTATGTTCGATTGTATTCACCATATACATCAGTGCGGCACTGATATAAGAGGGAGGGGCGTGATGATGGGGATGTCAAAGTTCACATTAGGAAACCAGATTGTGCTGTTATCTCTCCCATGGGAGCGGCTTTCAGCTGACCCCAAAACCAGGAAGTGAAGTAAAACTCTTGTCTATGAGGTGTCAAAGTCCAATGAACGCTCCATATTGACATGGAAATTAGGGCGAATGGTGGGGGTCGGACTGCACTCCACAGGGGAATTCCTATGGGGGGTTGGTATGGAAAGGGGGGGACTCCACACATTAGTTTCCGTCAAAGAGAGGGGATAAACGAGGCCATTAAGGTCTGCTCTCTGGGGAGTATAGTGGGTGGGCGGGCTGGATAAGGCGAGGAGGAAGGGGGGTTCAATAGCTGTTGACTAGGCTACCCCACAACAACCTGTCAGAATGCCCCCCTCTGTTCCACGCTGTCTTCACGTCGAGCACTGGCAAGTGCAGGCTTGAACTACCCACGCATTTCGGTCACAATACTCTGAAGTATGTGTGGGGTCCATGTTTGTGTGGCCTATTTCTTTAACCCACAAAAGGACAGAAGATTTCGCTTTAAACATTGTCAAAACACATTTTGACCAATTAAACCCCTCCTCCTGGACCTGTGCAGACTTCTGTTGATTGATAAAATGACATCATATGAAGAGAGACAGACAAATCTCACACAAGTGTTTGCATTCTCTGCATATGTTTTTTTTTTTTTGTTTTACAGCAGTGGTAGGGAATTATTGTAGTATTGGTCCCTACATTTGGCCACAAATATCAGATCTAATGAAAATTGCCTGTTACATTGTAGAAGTGTGCAAACTTTGAATATTGATCTTGCTAGTGAAGTATGACATGCCTATTTCAACCGTTTATCTTGTAGTGGTGCCTCATCATTACTCAAGACATCCAGAAGAAACACAATTCATTCTGTCAATTTGTGAATATTGACAAAATGTATGAGAGCATCGACTCAAGAAGTTGTCCTAAGTGTAAGTTAATGTTGCCAAGTCAAGCATAACCAGTCAGGGGAGGTTTTGCACAACAATTGTACAGTATTAAAAAAAGCCCAACAATCTGTTTGACTGGAGATCTTTTGATGTCAATTCCAAGACCACAAACCCAACAGCACGAGCTGTCTCACGTGTGTGTCAAAAAGATCACGCACATGAGACTGCTGTGGCTGTGAGGCCGGGTAGTGAGCTCCCCTAGCTCCAGCTCGCAAAGTGAACATGATCCGCGGAAACACAGTGAGGAGGCACCTGTTGTGCCATCCTGCTCTTGGTCTTCTTTATATGTTTTCTGCCGCTTCTCTCTCCTTGTGTGACAAACAGAGAGCTACATAAAGAAGGACTGAGTTAGCGAATCACAAAGAAGGTTCGTGGCTCAGGTTTGGACCCTTTACGTTTGACTTTGTATCGTTTGTCTACTGGTAAAAGGAATAATAACCACCATGCCATGCGCTACTTTTGTAAGAGTTGTCAAAAACAAGAAACGACAAAAAAAAGGCACACAAAAAGAAGCAACCTCTGATGGAGCAATAAGCGACCTACCTGTCCCATGTTCCTATAGCCATATTTATCCGCTATCCGCTCGGCTACATCGGGTCCACCGGCTATCCTGACTGCCCAGTGGTTGGTGTAAATCCGAGCATTGCACGGTGGGGACGCAAAGCTGAGACAGAGCGCCAGGACGCACAGCAAGCTTCTTCTCCAAGCGGCGTTGCGGACCATCTTCCCCCACTTAGAACCCGACTCTTCTCCTCCTCCTCAGCCGACCAGGCAAACAACCAAACTTCTCTTCTCGCCGAGCAAGACTCTCATAGAAACAGAACTATCCGGCCAAAAACAGTTAAAGTGAGAGAAAGAGAGGGAGAGAGGGGGAAGGAATGGAGCCCGGGAGAGGAAAAAAATATACCTTATCCTCAAATCCCTGCCTTCCACATGGGAGAGTTGAAGTTTGCGTTTCGAGTTCCTCTCTCTGTTTTTCCACAGTGGAGGAGGAGGAAGTGTACGTGTATGTGCGCCGTGCGTCTTTGCGCGCGATTTCGTGTACGTGTGCGCGCGCGGAGCTCCTCAAAGCTGATTTCTCTTCTCCACGAACAACTCGGATGTTGGTCGTTCAGCGCATCGGGCTTTCATGTGGCGAAATGGCTACAGCGCCTCCCCACAAATAACTAGCTGACACTCTGGAGAGTAGAAACAACTGAAGCCGCGGGGTTTCCCTGCCCAGCTCCGCTGGGTCTTAAAGACACTCTACTCGAATCCACCGCTGACCGCCCGCCCACCAGACACAGACTGGGGGTCATACTGGGGGCCATGGAGCCACTTGGGGGCAGCTTCAAGGGCTTACTCCAGGAGGGCCCCTGGGTAAAATGAAGAATAATTTACTTAAAAACAAACTGTCAGGAAGTTAGACTATGTTAAAGAATGGTTCTTCATTTTGTTTGTCACAACGCCCAATTGAACTTACAAAAGAAGAAACAATCTAAAACAATGTGTACAGTTAACATGTTCATGTCTACGTGGCTACTGCCATAGCAAGGAGGTATTGCAACACAAATGACATCAAGTTACAATTATGGTTGAATCTGTAGATTCTGTATCTTCACCGTAACCCTGACCCTGTGTTTAACCCTGACCCTGCTCTTACCCTATTGAACCTGGGTCTAAGGGTTCAAATAGGTTCCATCTTTTATAGCCTCACTATAAATCAGAAATAATACTGCCAAAGCACTGTGTAAAAGAAGAAAAACATGCTGACATGATTTAACATTTGGTTTGACATCATGAAACCCGTATTCATTTTTAAGAATGTGTGTAGTTTGCTATGAAAACATCTCAATTTATGTAGATGTTTTCAACTAATTATGGCATCATTCACATTTTGGGGTTTTGTTTGTAGACAATGAGATGATACCAGTGAGAATGGGTGTTGCTTCCAAGAGGGTGTTCATATCTTACAGAATAATCCTTTTTTTTTTTTTTTACTTACAGCAGAGCTGGGTTCTAACCATCAACAACTATGCACGCTTTCAGTGAGTGACTGAGTTGTTTATACGTTTGCTAGTGTGCCACATTTTAAGAGCTGAGACAAACATGCAGCACATGAGTAGCAGTGGTGTTTTGCCCCCTAAAATATATTTGTTATCAGTCCACAAGGTAACAAGTGGATGCATTACATTTTGGATACTGCTCCTCCGTCCCACACCTTGAAATCTGCTGTTGAATGCAAGCCTTGTCAGTGTCTTGGGCAATATTGACATAGACATACCAATGTAAAGGTAAACCATGACCTCCACCTCAGTAATCATCCAAAGGGAAACAACCATAGAAAACAAACTATTATATATTTAAAAAAAACATAAAAAATGTTCTCCCATAAAACACTGAACCCTCTTTCAACTGCATTGAATTATTTTCATTGTTGTGACAGTCATGATTTATGGTTCAGAGTGTGTATTGCTTAAAATCTTGGAGATGAGCTGAACTCAAGTGTGTTTAACACTGTCATATAGTAACCAGCCTCACAGACATCCTCACTGTTTGCCCGGGTTATACATCCACCACTGCCATGCAGGCCTTCTGCTCTTTATAGCAACTTTATTGCATATTCCCCCTCAATCAGTGAAGCTCTAGATGTCATGCCCCTCATCGCAACACAGGTCACAGCTGACTAAACGCTGTGATTATGGAATGTGCCTGGTATTATCTGCAGTTGAGTCTTTCATTCAAGGTCTTTGTTGATTGATGGGTTTTTGTTTTGCAGTAGTTTCCCGGGGATGTCTCTGTGCACAGCAAAAACTCTGTTCTGCATGGGACACAAGTGAAAATCAGCATAATTGCACTAATTGCAGCCAATTTCTCACTGAATGGACCCCGCTGTCACATCTCACAACAAGCGGGGGGACAAGAACATCTCATGGTCCCTTAGATGGAGATGAAAGGGAGTAAAGATTTATAAAAAATAAAAAAAACAGTGATAGTTCTCCATTCAGCCAATTTGAGGGGCTTGTAATTTGAAGAAAAAAGGAGAGGAGACAAAACACAGCAGAAATTGATTTGAGTATCCAAATCAAGTACCCAGGTCACGAGGCCACCTTGAGAACCAGGGCCCCCTGTGTTTCAGCCTCGCAGCTCCCCGAGTTTCTCCAGGGAGTGAACCGAGTGAACCCCAACAAAACGTCTTTGTCAACAGAGTGGATCGGTCAGGAGCGTCAACAAACAGTCTGAAGGGCATTCCTGTGTGCATTCCTGTGCCTCTTCAATAAAATAACAGGGTGCATCCCGTGTTTAGGCCAAACGCAACTTTTTTTTTTAAAACTGCACACAACACCCATGATACAACACAATAGAAGGCTCCAAAAAGAGACTGCAGCCAACTAGCTTTTTTTCACCAATGACACAGCTAATTTGTTCATTCAGTATCAAGTATACAATTCTAGGAGTGAACCACCCACATGATTTTCTCGTCCCATCAAGACAGGGGCGTTATCAAACATGTGTGCCCCTCGTGAATTCAAGTGCATCTTATGATTACCCATCCACCACTGCTTCTCCACACCTCTATAATGGCTCCACCTGTACCCACAATGGCCTTTGCATTCAATCATTTGCTTTGCTTTCCTTTCCAGATGTTCTCTTTTTTGCCTGCATCTTCGTTTATATAATGAATCTATCTGGTTCTGTTCTTTTCTTTAGAGCCTGTCTTGGGGTCAAGTTTTTTTGAATTAATTTAACCTACGCTGCAGCTTGACATCTTCCTCTTCCTTAAATTGTTATCCTAGGGCTCATCGCTCTCTCTGACCCACTTATCTGTACCTCTCACTGGGTGGGTTTCCTGGGAGCAAAGGTTGACCTTTCAACTTCACTTTGACCTTTGACCTTGTAGCTGTAGGCTGCTGCACTTAGGTTACAATAGCACCTGCCACTCACCGACTTTCCATCTTCCCTGCTCGACATCTCATCCTCCAATCACCACCCGTCCCTTCTTGTCTTCACCCTCTCCTTTGTCAGCCACATACCAGTGTTATACAGACTATTCTGGGGCCACACACACTATACATTCTGTGGAGAGAGATGGAAGAAGGGGGAGACGGAGAGTGGTATAGCTAAGTAAAGTTTTGTCTCCTGCATCTGCGGGAAATGTGAATTGGAATCTCTATGGTACTCAAATAGTATAGTGGTTTATCAATTAAAACACAACGTTCAAAACAAGTCAAATAATGTGGAATTTGATTATCTCAAGTTTAGGCATTGTCAACACATAATTGTTTGACTGGTTTATATTACAATTTTTTTAATTGATGTGTTAATTGCCTGTTTACCAGGTTTGTTAAACCTCCTTCTGCTCCGAATATGACTCACAACGGGCATTTAATCAGTGCCCAGTTCAATTTTAAGCCTTATAAATAAGAAGATTCCTTTACTATGTACCTGTGAGCTGTGACCCACCTGGTGTGGCCTCCTGTGTCAAAAAAGTGCTGTCCTGTGTGCAGTACGGACCAAGCAATTGACTTCATACGAAATAGCTATACATTGCCATCTTGTGGTGACTGAGAAGATTACATGATGAACATTACATGATCCACACGGTGTGTAAGTGAGCGGCTAAAAAAAACATCTACTCAACTAATTCATTGTGAGTTTTAACATTGTATCTATATGCTCATATGTATTTTCATTGGCACTGAAAGATTTGTGTTTCTCCCCTTTATGAACCTTCAAATATCCTTGAGATAAAACAAATACTTTGCAAAGAACATGTGTAAAACCTTGGTATCATTGTGAATGCATGTAATGTTCACAAATAAGGGTCTAAAAAGTACATTTGAATAGGAAGGGAGTCATCATTCAAGCGTTTTTTCTTCACTTTTTGATAGATTATATGGTATTGAATTATTTAATAAAATAAATAAAATTACAACAATACATTGCAATGAACAAAAAATAACTACTTAACTATCCTGGTGAAATGATCTTGAATATAATGGTGAACATCAATCCTCACATGAGCAGGGTCAGATTATAAATCTACATTTCTAAATATAAATGATGGAACTGTCTGGATGAGGTGCAGACAAATCCACATCTATTCACCTTTATTCTGCATGACTACTTGTCCCATTTTAGTGATTGTGTTAAATTACTGTAGGAATTCAACATGATCACATTCTGCAACTGACCCGTTTTGTCTTTTGATATTTAAGCAAACGTTTTGCTGTGCTGAGTCATGGGCAAAGAAAATAGTTCATTTGAAAAATAAACTGTTTAATCTTCCTTTCCCTGTCAGTTTTTTTATTTATAGCATCATAGAATATGCATTTCATGGGAAAAGATGGTGTCTTATGATGGAGCCACCTGCGTCTTTCAAGCTGGTTCACCATATGGCCAACTGGCTTAAAAGACTATTACAGAGAACAGTTTTGGCAATCAGATTACAGACGATGCTCAATTCAGTTTCAGCAAACTACTTTTTCGAAAAAGTTACAGCAACTGCCTCACACAAATGAACAATTTTAAATGAAAAGATTGTATTATTCAATAAATGAGCTGTAATGGCACAAATTATAACAAATTTCTTGATTATCATCCATTTGCTTGCACGCATCATATCCTACAAACTAGCCAACAGGTCAAAAGTACAGACTCACTACTCGATAATCGTAAGGTCAAAACTGCAAGTACAATTGAACAAAATATAGATATACTTTGACAGACCAGAGGGAATGGGGCAATCAATGCAAATTCATCCCATTATACACCCACTTGTAATTTCAGTTTTTATTTCATCGTTATCGCATTATCAAACCCAAGGAAGAGCCGTCTTCTGCAACCTGTCAACCCATAAATTTATGCTGGCAATTACTAATTTATTAAATCGCAGATTCTCAAGGTATGAGAATTTGAGAATGTGATGTTTGGCAGCAACAGAAAAATTTGTTACAAATTGGGTCGAGTGCAGTACACATTTTGGGGAGAAATTATAATAACTTGCAGGCGTTTTGTCATATCCAATTGTGCTTAGACTTTCATGATCTAACTTTGATTTAATTTCAGTAATAACCACCAAAGATATTTTGGTAACTGACAATAAATTGTTTTATCAGTTTTACATGATCATAGGCACCCATAGTGATGGTTTCTAGGTAACCACATGCAATACATTATTTTGGATAAATATGATTTCCATCTTTCTTCATTTCACACTGTACTGGATAGGTGAATGTGAAAACATTGGGCAGGGCTCCCTATGATGCAAGTATCTGCTCCAAGTTTCTGTATAATTATTTGCCATCTCTGACATGAAGGATGATTGAATCAGAAAACAGTCTAAGAAAACTCACACTGCACACAAACAAAACAAAAAAAATCTCAGTCAAGTCAAATTTCCAACTGCTCAGAACTTTTATTTCGAGGGAAATCAGGGTTAAAATAAAATTAAAATATAAAATTTAGATGTCTTCAAAAGGTAAGGGGTTGACACAAGGAGAGTCGGCAGCCTTCCAGAAGAAGGGAGGAAGAGAGTCAAGAGGGGGAAAAACAGGAAGCTACAAAATGAAGTTTGGGGGATGAGCCTGGTCATTCAGGAAGTTATGTATAAAAAAAAAAAATAAAAAAAAAAAAGACAAAACGGATGCAGTTAGTTATTATAAACCCCACCTCCATCTGAAATGTCCTCATTCGCAATCAGTGCTATAGCTCTCTCCTTTTCCTTTTCTGGTTTCTTACAGGAGGTTTTAGATAATTTCTATTCTTCTCTCGCTCTCTCGCCATTACCTCATTCCGTCTTAATGTAACATCTTTTCCTGCAGTTTTGAAAAAAGTAAACAAAAAGTCCTTCAAAAATAAAATGCAGCAACCACATTTCATGTTCTACTATTACATATACAGTATATATATATATATAAATACATACATAAATATCTTACATGTACAACCAATTTTGAAAAGGGAGGGAAGAGAGAACCCAAAAGACTTGAGGATGAGGACTAGTGGAGGTGGGGGAGCAGGGCGAGGAGGCCCAAGGTTGCTCATTGTGAGGGTAGTGTGTCTTTCTTTTTTGTTTTAGCTTTACACTCGCAGGCACATAGCCTTTTGGGGGAGTGATGATTGGGAAGCATTCCTCAGTTGGCCCAGTAGGGGGAGTTGCCATAGCTGGACTTGCTGCCTTGGGTCTTCTGCTGCATGCTGCTGGACTGATTGCGCTGACCAGGACCACCCTGCAGAGACACAAAAAAAAAAAAAAAGTCCAGTGAGTCACTAATGTTTAAAATAACGTATCTACCTAAAAGGTTTAAAAACCATCAGGGTGACGCTTGCAGTGTTGACTGCTAGTGCCTGGTAAGAAAAGCCTTTTAAGTGCCTGACGTTTTGGTTCGTGGGGCAAAAACGATCCTGGAACTATTTATTAAAAAAGGCCTATGAAGTTGCTGAACATTACAGGCAGCATGCAAGTTAATGCACAGGAGCAGTCTTGTTTGTTTGCCCACCTACGTCAGCTGATGCGGTCACAGCTATTCAGAAAACATGGGTGTCAAATGAAATAGACAAAGCGACAGATTAACACTTCAATGATGCAAACTTATGTGGGCAGAATGTGATGTATGCTAAGCTTACCTGTCCATCCTGTGTGAGGTGATGGTGCAGCAGCTGAGAATGGGGCTGTTGGTGCGGTGGCAGGATGTGCATGAAGGGAGCCGGGGCATAGCCAGGAGCACCCCCAGGGTTCAGGGGCCCTGTTCCCCCCAGCGCTGAAGGCAGGCTGAAGGGAGGTGGTGTCCCCGTGTGGAAGCCCTGCTTATCAAATGACTGGGGATAACCAAGAGAAGACACAAGAGCTTAAAATTGTGAATACAGGCCAACTTGATTACGTGCATTTAAAATAGGTTTAGAAATAAATAAAATGACAATTTAATATAGCTTTCAATAAATATTTTACCAATCCAAACATGTTTCTGTATCCAAATCAAATGTACAACATAATTTAATGGCCTACTCAAGGTGATATGCTGTTTATGTGTAGACATGCACTAGTTTCAATTAAGAGAAATATTTGCAGAAAAGGTCACTCGTGTTATCTTAAGACTATTATTATCTAAGCAGAGGCATTGAGCCATAACCAAACACAGGAATACAGGACTTCAAGTCACTCACTTGAGTTTTGCTGTAGATTGAGCCTCCCATGTCAGGTACTCCACCGGTACCTGACCCCGACAGTCCTGGTGCTGAGACGAGAAAGAAAAGGAGGGAATAGGAAAGAGGTAAAGAAAAAAAAGATCGGAATGTAAGAAGGAAGGAAAGAAAAAGGAAAGAAGAAAACAACAGAGAAGGAAACGCAAAGGAGTTAAGGGAGAAGAAACACAACTGTGTCACTTCACTGATTGAATATCAAGCGCTGAATGTTCATTTCCACTGTTAGTAGGAGGGGGGCCAGCCAGTAGGAGGAAGCATATTAAGTGAGGAGGTGCAGATTTCTCACTTTTTGTCACCCTTTTTGCAAGTATTCCTTTTTTTTATGTGCACATCAAAGTGCAATCACACATGTGCAAATACACACCTTTCTCCAGAACACTCTTGAGTGTAGAATCATCTGCAATTGTGAGTAAATCTGTTTTTCCCACAGGGAAATGCCCGCTGACTTTGACCGCGTGTTGTTAGAGGGTGCGCACATGTGTTGTGTGTGTACCTTTCCCTGGGCCGCTGCCCGCTGACTTGGCCTGTGACTGGGCAGAGCCTCCGTACCCTCCCTTACTGTACTCCCCACCGTGGGCTTGAGACAGGTCATCAAAGGCTGAAGGAGGAGGAGTACAGAAAAAGAGGAGGCACAGCGAGCAAAGGAGGAAGAGAGGTGGGGTAGGAAGAGAAAGACAGGAAACGGATGACGTGAAGAGAAGAAAAGGACGAGGATGGGAGGAGAAAAGAGAGGGGGGCAGGGGAGAGAGGCAGTAAGGTAACCTGACTAAAACGGCAGCTGCGTCTATATTGAGCCGTGTCCAACTTCAGCAGGGGGTTTGAGCTATGCATGCAGCACAAGCAAAAATCACACAGGCCCAATTCCACACGCACATGCAGCATTTGGTGTACATGGCTAAAGTGTAGGAAATCTAATTCTCTTTTGCCTCCCTCTACACATCTTATTTATGTTCGGGTTCGGTCTCTGTACACGCACCTCTCTATATCCCAATACATGTGCTCTTGAAAACCTGTTACCATTATGAATTATAAGGTCATTCCTGCTGAACTCCACACCTTCTACAAGACAGCTGGCTTTTTGAGCATCTAACACATCAGAAAGAACCGACTGGCCCGATAACCCAATAATGTCCCCATAACTAGTCAAACTGTTGAAGTCGTTCAAGTGACCACCTCAGCTACTTTTGGTGGCTAGTTGCTGTGACAGTTTGTGGGACTGTGATAGTTTGGCAGTATTCAGAATTTAAGATAGACCAGTGTTGTCATAGTTCATATCAACTCAAAAGCTGAATTAAAATGAATATAATCTCCACATGGAAACCTTTTATCATTTGTTTGAAAACATCAGTCAGAGAATAGACGGCCTTCTTGTTTTGCCCTGGTCTTACCTGCGCCATATGCATGCTGTCCGTAACTGGGCTGATGCTGTTGGTGATACTGATTGGAAGGGTTGGCTAGGCCCATTGCAGGTTGCTTGGCAGCAGCAGGAGGCACAAAGACGGTGGGGCCGTACTGGAAAGCCGAGGGAACCCCCGGCAAACCAGCGTAATACGGCAGACCTGTAAAATTGGATGTTAAAAAAATAATCCAGTGCAAAGAAAACAGATCACTAGGCAACTGTATTTAAGCAACAATGATGAGAAGGGCTCGTCTGTGCAGAGCAGGCACGGTTTCATTAATAGTCTACATAACAGTTATGTAAAAATGACTTATCACTTTTGTTTGATCTTGTTTTTAGAAATTTGTACATTTGAAGAATTCTCTTCTTTTTTAGCTTAAGTACTCTTTACATATTACAACAGACCCTTAGAAACAGTTAAACAAGAAGCCAAAATAACGAGAGAAGATGGTAGCCTGCAATTTGCATTCAGAGTAAATGTCAAGTGCATGGATGAGTTGCCTGGAAATAACTGGACAACATCCCCATCATTAAACATAATGTTACTTCTCCTTACCAGTGTATCCATAGCCAGGGGGCAGGGGGGGATTGAGGAAGGCCTGGTTCTGTGCTTGCTGACCCTGACCCTGTGTTCCTGCCTGTGGTGCCTGCTGGGGCTGTGACTGCACCCCGGCTGTAGACATGCTGGTCGGGGGAGCTGGAGATGACGAATCATTCCTGCCAAACTTTGTCGCTTCACCTGGATAGAAAATGACAGCAGAGAAGACAAAACTGAAGCTGAAAAAAATGCATCTAAACATATTTTGCCCCTCTATTCCACAGCTAACGTGAACCATCAGCAGGATCTCCATGTTGATCGAATCAATTATGCTTAACATAATATGCTGAAGTGCAAAAATGACAGCCATGAATAAAATGTTGTATGAACAGACAGATGTGTAGTTTCAAGAAAATAAGGAATTGTGTCAATTGCTCAGTGTCAACGAACAGACTGTCTCGACACATAATGCAGCAGACATGTCAACTCAACATTTCACTTACCAGAATATGGATTATTAGCAAGGCTCTCTCTTCCAGGCATAGCAGCTGTAGTACCAGGGAATGTTATACCATAATAATCCTGTGTAGAAAGAGGAAAATTAAAAATTAAATGCCAAGCGTTACCCTCCACATTTCATTGCCTTTTCCATACATCTTAGACTGATAATTTTGGAATTTTGTGCTATTGCCAGAGAGGATGCGTATTACGAGTGGTTACTTTACTACAACGGTAGCAGGAATGTAACAAAAAGGGAAACACATTTGAAAGCCCCTCACCGATTTACCATAATACTAGAATCACAGTGACATGAAGCAGGGTATAGGGCAGAATAACACTCACCATAGGAAGGCGAGACTGCAGCATTTGCAAGTCCTCATATCCGTAGATCTGCTGTTGAAATAATAATGGAGAGACGAATCGGGGATAATTAAGTACCACTTTGAAGTCACTGTTGCCCACAAACTCAACTTAAGTTATATGCTTCTACTCAGCTTCAGTCAGTGTCTCTGTGCGTTTCATAGATGTCATGTTTGATCAGAACCTACTAAAACAGTCCTCGTCAACACTGAGAATCTCCATAGAATAAGGAGTGAACTCACTGCCATAATTGTTCAAGTTTGAAGGTGGACCCGCAATTCTCCTTTTAGTGACAAGCCTCTCCTCAGAGTTTTGCTTAGCTTTTTAACTGATTGCATTAATTGGTCAAAATGATCATCGGTTAAATATTAACATACTTATTACAAACTGATTGTTGACAAAAAGAAAATGCTTCACAGTTCTGGTAATGTTAATCTCTTATGATGTCATCTATGCTCTTGATACAACTCTTCTTTCCCTTTAAAAAAAGCCAGGGGACTAATAAATATACAAACAATAAAATAATATTGGCTAAATTGTATTTAAATATTTTTATAGTTACCGGGTAAGCAGGGAGCAAGCCACCAGGGCCCATGATGTACTGGTTGGCCAGGAGAGGCGGCACTCCTTGAGCCAAGTTGGGAGGAGCTTTACCTGGTAAAGAGGATAAACATTTTCAACTTGACATAATATATGGACATTAATTATGTAATTTTGCTAAATTTGTATAGATCTGTATGGTCTTAGGCGAGTGTCAAAATAGCTTGATTACTAGAGGAATTGACCTTCACTATGCCCAGCCCCTCGCTGCAACTCTGTCAAACTGTTACTTACTGCACTACCTGCATACATGTTACCTAACTTTTGGAAAAACCAAACCACCACATCATCTGGCGATTGAGATTAAGGAATAACACTGTTCTTGTAAAGCCAGGTAGGCCATTATTCACTTTTACAATCATTAAAAACCAACAGCAGCACATGTATACATTCAGTATACCTTCAGTAGCTTGCATAGCACTGAAGTGCTAACGCTAGTTAATGCTGTGCCAACATACTCTGCTACCGTTAGCTCCAAACATAAAAACAAAACGTTTCACCGTCTTCCATCTCCTTCCAACCTCTGTGGGTAACGAGTAGCACCATTACACAACGTTTAACTATGACTAACTCAAAAACCACAGAGCCAGTCTGAAAATTAAGAAAGTCTGATGATGAGAGTCTATGGAGCAGAGTTGTATAGTTGTCGGACCCTGGCAGACTCTTCTGTAAATGAGTTCCTGTGTTACGGTGATGCGATTCCTATGTCGATCTATGAGCCTACCAGAGGTGGTGGTGAGCAGGGGTGCCGTGCGGCTGCCTGCAGCTGAGAGTGTGGCGTTTGTGCCATTAGGAGTTAGTCCAGGTGCTCCAGATTGGTGCAGACCATTGGTGATCGAGCAGTTAACAGCCAGGGGACTTGAATCGATAGCGTGGCTGGACGACGATGAATAGGCATGGAGGTTGCCACTACTATTGTTCTCCACATTACTTATCTGCCGTTAACAGAACAAGAGAAGAAAGGGTGTGTGAGGAAAAATAAAAAGCAGCAACTATTTCGTAGGTATGTTTTTCTGAAAGCATCACAGATTAGCAGAAAAGAAAGTCCTGCACTCAAACAACCCAACTGCACAATAATAAGTGTCTACATTTTCAGCAAATATCTCATATCTTTTTATTACCACAACTGCAGAGGGATGTTATATTAAACTTGTGTCTGTATGAAAGCATGTACAGACTTACCGTGTGGGAGGAGCTTGTGGCTAGAACAGATCCGGTTGAGTGAGTACTGGTCACATGACTAGAGAGAGTAAAATGATTCTGTCAGTTTGCTTAAATCTGATAAAGCAAAAGTTCTTTATCAAGGAATATATTTTAAAAGGATGGGAGATTCAGTGAATATGTATTTCCACATTAAAGGTTTAGGATATGTGCTTGTAAGCATCATTATCTCCAGACAAAGAGGACACACAAAAAAAGGGAAAATGAATCAATGTGCAGCATCCCTTACCTGCTGAGCGAGGGGATGGATGTTGAGTGGGAAGGTGTAACTGCAGGGGAGGAGATGTGGTGGCCAGTGTCACTCGTCATAACGGGAGACTCGGTTATGACTGTTCTAGACATCGATGATGTAGCTGTTGTAAAAGAAAAAATAAGAAATTAATTTGGTGTAAATCATTTTGTGTTGATGTTACAAACTGTTAGGAGGGGAAAAAAGAATGAAATAAAATGAAACAAAGTTGGACAAGGTGGATGATTTGAGTGTGTCCTGGTCTTTTTCAAACCTAATCAACTTTCTCTGAAAGGATTCTTTCCACTTTCTATCTGATGCATTTAGCGATCAGTATTCATCATATTGGACTTGATTGGCCACTCCATCTGCTGCGTGTACTTACTGTCCTGTGTGCTCTGTGTCTTCATGCCACTGTAGCCGTTCTATGAGAGGAGGAAATGATCAAAGTCTTAGTATTCAGTTTTTTGTCAGGTATTAAGCGGAGATTGAGCTTTCGAGAGATAACGGTAAAATCAGCAGGGGGTAACATCCTCTTTTCATTTGGGTCACTTATGCATACACAGATAAAAGATTTATCCTCACCGTGAGAGCGGCAGCTGAGGAGACATCTTTGGTCTGAGAGAAGCCCAGATGAGGTGGCAGGGACCTTTGACCACTGCTCTCCACACGGCTGGCTGCAGAAGAGGCTGTAGAAGAGGGTGGTGCGGCTGCACTGGGAAGACCCATGGAGGGGGAGGGCGTGGCACTGGGTAAGCCCAAGGATGGTGAGGGGAAGCTGGGATCTGATACAGCTAATGGTAAGGGGGGTAAGCTGTTCATGTGTTCGCTGTTCACAGGACAGAGAGAAAGGAAGATGGGGAAAGACGGACATACAGAGAATGTTTTAGAAGTAGAAAGCTACGCACTCTGAAAAGATACACAAATTCCTCGTAAAAAGACAAAACTATGCATTACACCGTAAATCAAAAAAACTCCTCCGCTCGCTCGCTCACTCTCTCTCTCTCTCTCACACACACACACACACACACACACACACACACACACACACACACACACACACACACACACACACACACCTCATAGATCCTGGCTTGGAGAACAGGCTGCTCTGTGGCTGCTGTGTAGGACCAGGCATGGGTACTGGAGCTGGGCCCTGAGTCGGGGCATGTTCCCTGGCCGGCTCCGCCTGTGCCATTGCTACCGTTCCACTACCAGCCACAGACCCAAAGTCAAGAGCCCCAAACTGAACATTCAGGCCAGGTATATCTGCTGAGCCCGGCATCTCCACTGCTGACGACGGGATCTGAGAAAACAAAGAAGGAATTAAGTAGAAGTTGGCCTATATATTTACCAATTTGATTATTTTGAATTATGTTCAAATTTGTTTTGTACTATGTATAACATGTTTAAAGTATGGACATCAACTTGTTGAAATGTGTGCAACGGTATTTTCAGTCAAAAATAAATGATCACCGGCTAGTGGCTGTGTTGAGTCCAAACATGTATGAGATGGATATACTGAATACTACTCCTTCTGTGTTATATATTATCGCTGATTATGAAAGGTGAAGTCATGAGAGTGGAGTTCACAGATTGAGCAAACTACTTTATTTAGTCTGTTCCTACCACATATAGGGCTGGTTTTCCTGTCAAGTACGTGAGAACAGATAGATTGTGGAAGACTCTCAGTTCCTACCATATCTTGCAGGCAACATTGTTCTTTAGTTATTTTTGCATGGAGGTTATCACACTCGTTTTGTCTCATTCAGATATCAGAAGAGCTTACCTTTGAGGAAGGAGGTACTCTGCGTCTCTGTGTCTTTAGCTGCCGCTGAGGAGGTTCTGTGACAGAATGCTCCATGAATGTCAGCTTCCCTCCTGGAGAAGCTCCATCTCTTAAAGGAGGGATGGACGACTCATGACCTGTAGGATATTACAGGAGGATCAAAATAATGGTCAGAGCAAGACACAATGACAATGGAAATATTGCCATGATCTTACAGCACAGATAAACTACAGATAAGTGTTCCCACTTCTCATTTCTATAGCAGAAAAACACACCGTCTGAACCATATTGTGTGCCCTTAATATTTGTCTTTGATATCAGCGCTGTAGCCATCATCTCAAATTTCACTTTTAGCTAAATATTTCCCATTGTTATTTCCATGTGTTGTTGCAGTCAACAAACAAGGCAGAAGGAACATTTAAGTGCTCAGCAATTGTGGCTATTGAACAGCTCAGGGGTCATGAAGAACAATCTACTGCTGCTGGTATTCTTATCTAATTAATCTGCCAAATATCAATATTCAAAAATGACTAATTAGTTGAGTTGCAGCTCTACTGGCAAGTGGAAATCTAAGCAAACTATCCCACCGTTAATGTAAAGATGCACCAACTGCAATTTTCTTGGCTGATTCCGATATCTTAAAAGTCTGATTTGCCAATTCCGATTTTGGTTCTAAGAACTACAATTAACAGCAAAGCTCCAATAACGTTTTTCACCACTGTCCTGGAACTCACCCCAAAAAATTATTTTAAATGTCCCGAAGTCAGTGTAAAGTGGCAAAAATTCTGTAGGATATCCTCAAATTTGCTGTTGTCATCTATATATTTCTATTTGAATACTTACTTTAACATCAGTAGTCTTAAATAATGTATTATAACTTGTCCAACTTACAACTTTAGTGTTTGTAAGTTCCCGCAGCCGATCAATCTATGCATCTCTACTTTAGTGTAACACTGTCCTGCAGCCCTACCTGGTGGTGTGGGGACCTGTGGAGCATGCGACAGGCCCAGAGGATCTGCGGTGGGAAGGATGGAGGACTGTTGCCTCTGAGACAGCTGGCTGAGCACCGCTGATGGCTCAGGTTGAAGCTTCATCCCCACTGGAGAGAATGGAGATAAATATGTATTCATATACCAAATGTACCACTGTGCACTGTACCTTGTGCATTGTCATCAAGAACAGGTTTAATAGTCGTGGATTTCTTATTTGCTTTGAGAAATTTAAACTTACTGTGTTGGGCAATAACAGGGCCATTCTCCACTCTCTGAGCCTTGACTTCTAGAGAGGGAGAGCACGCTGGAACAGGGTTCTGCATTGGAGGTGGCCCTGCATCTTTGGAAACACTAATGTTGCTGGCGTTGGCCAACATCGGACAGGCCCTCTGACCAAGCCGAGGGCCGTTGAGCTGCTCCGATGTCCTGGTGTCGGAGGTAGGCGTTGGCTTCGGCGCATTCGGGGATCCAAAACCAGAACCCAGGACTGAGGACTGAGAGGATGAGAGAAGCAAAACAAGAACTGAATACACCAGTATCAGTGTGTAGGCACATAAACATCGTTAGGTGTTTGCTGGTGCTTGCACGTGTGTGTATGTACCAGTGCAGCATGTGCATAGGTGGTACTAGCAGAGGCGGCATGGGCGTAGCTGTTGGCTGTTGCGTGTGCGTAGCTGTGTGTTGCAGTGCGTCCATTGTGGTGGGAATTGGTAAACACCAGGCTTTGGCCCAAATGCTCGGCTGAGGGGCCATCGACTATCGCTCCCAAGTCAGCTTCCATAGAACCCCCCACAGCCACTCCAGTCTTCGGCAGTAGGCTAGCCATGTCCTCACTGAGGGGAAGCAGAACATAAGAGAGCAGAAAGAGTGGGGGGAGTGAAGAGTGGAAGAAAAGAGGGGTTTGAGGAGGAGAGTCAATAAGGCGAAGATAACCACACAGATCAAATGAAAAGTTACTCTCCAGATTAAAGCCCGTTCTCTGTAGTGTTTTAAGTTGACTGGACTTTGGGCAGGATCGCTTACTTGGGTCTAGGTGTGATGTGTTTTGCTGGAGGAGAGGAGGCAGTGAATACTTTGGTCTCAGACAACTGTGGAAAAGGACAGGAAGTGCAAACACAGGCATCCATCAGATTTATATTGGCATATGTGCTGTACTGTATATCAACAACCATTAAGAACCTCATTGATAGGACCACTGACTCTTAACCGATAGTATTTAGTAAGTCAACGTCTCTAGAAGTTAGGCAGGACAGTGCAGATTTAAAGCAATCTAAGTGAAACAAACTTTGTGCAACCCCTCAATCTACAGCAACGCAAATCCCTTTCAGATCATTAAAAAGTGCTGTCTTACGTCCTCATTCCAGTCCTCTGCAGCCCAGTCTTCCACATTGCCTTCCCATGTTCCTAAAAACACAAAACAGAACAGCCAAGTTAGTGTTGCCATGTTCTCACACACGTATGTTCTCAGCAACTACCAACCACTCAAAGCACTGAAACAAAATATAGCACCCTACATGCTTTAATATAAAACACCCTCAAAATAAAAGCCCTTGAATCCAACAGAGTAATTTGCCTATTTATGATTGAATTATTATTTTATTCTGCACCTAGTGGCCTACATCTGGAATTTCCCACTGATTTGGGGCAAATGAACTAGACTAGGCAAATACTTTTAAGCCATTCTACAACAAACATAGGAAATTGCATCAAAACGCGACATCTCCGTTATTTTCCTTACCAGCTCCCTCAGCAGTTTCATTACCGTCCCATGCATCCTGGCGAGCTCGGGAGTTAGCGCCGTAATCAGCAGGATTGAAGATGCTGAAAGTAGTAGAGAGTGGAAAGAAGACACCAGGAAAGAGGAGGAGACAGGTTGGAAAACTTAAGTAAAATTGAAGCGAATACCATCTGGTCTATTGTTACTACTGAATGAGGAGATTCAGAAACTTAATTTATCCACATTAGATTTGTTTAAGATATGTGCTTGTAATCAGCATCACTACCTCCTGATCCTACTTCAGGCTTATGATTTACACTAAGCACACATTCTTACCCCATTCCCTGGGTAGAGAACCTGTTGTCATCAGCTGCCCTTCCTCTACCGCGAACCCCTGCCCCTGAGGACACACACAGGACAACCAGATGACCCCTGCTGACTGGTCAATTTCAGCCTCAACTCTTCATTACGCATTTTTTTCAAAGAGATTTTTTTCTAAGTTTACTGAAAAAAGTTATTTTTTTGTCATTTAACTTTGCCAAGCATGAGACAATATCTTCTCAGGTTTTTTTTGTTTGAAAACATAGCACCGTACATGCGTTTACGTTTATTTTCTATTATGTTTTTATACCCATGTTTCTAAAATGTGGCATTGCTTTAGGATTGCGTTCAATAAGTAAACTACTAATACAGTGCAATGTCATAGTAGTTGACCACACCAGAATGATATCACATTGCGATATCTGTGCTGTCAAAACACACCAACATCGGCCATTGAGGTAACGGTTAGACAGGCTGTCTTAATAAGCCAAAAGAATATGTTAAAGTCAAGATTTTAACTTTAGACATTCAACAGCCATACATTAATACAAGAAGCCACAAGAATACATGTATTTCTCCAGTGTTAGAACATAATCAGCCCTCAGACACAATTTCTCCTGAACCAGGCCTTGATTGACCTCATCCTTCTTTAGATCGCTTGTCGTTACAAAAAAAGGACACAAATTGAGTCAGATTCTATGCCCGTTCTCCCTCTCCAATCTCTTCTATCAACGACATCCCTCGCCCCACTAAACATACACGCAAGCAGCTGCAGGGACTCAGCGCATTCCACACACGTTGAGTGCTGCAATACTCTAAATGCCTGTAGATACAAATAGATATGTTGCCAGCTACATCACCAAAACATGCAGAACAACATCTGAGACAATGCCCTATCTAACACAGTGAACAAAAACCAAACGATATTACAATTTGCTTAAAGTCATGGATATGTGCAAATGGTGGACTACAGGGTTGCCTAAAGACGATATCAAAACTGGTAGCTATAAATACCCCCTTTTCAATAATCTTTGTATAGTCCAACTTTGCCATTTTGTTAGCAAAAAGACCAAATGTGCAAAGTATTCAATAAACTAAAGGTGTAATTCTCTGTACTGCTCACCTCTGCCCCGCCCTCTGCGTCCACGGTCTCCCCCTCTCTCTCCAGGAGTAACCTCAAACACATTCTCCTCTAACCGACCTGGAATCCAACAAGAAACAGATACAAGCTCATATTATTAACACTGAACTGTGAGAAAGACCGTTGAGCCTTGATAAATAAACCCACTGGGATATCAAAGTTAAACAAATGAGAAAAGTTGAATGACAAATCCATACAATACTAAAAATAAACTTGTCAAAGATACTTCAAATACAGAGAACACCATTTCAAAAGGACTGACAAGGAACCTGCATTTACACAATTCAGATAGTACAAATATCTTTCTTACCTTCGCGCCCTCGGCTGATGCCTCTGCCCCTCCTGTTGGACGCCCCACGTCCGCGACTTGCCTCCCTCTCTCCTTTCTTCTCCCGGCTCTCCTTTATCTCTGAGGGTCCACCTTCTTTCCCAAGGGTACGCTTCTTCCCCACAGTCTCCCAGGAGGTCTGACCGAGGTAAACCAGAGAATGAGGTGGACTAAATACATAAATGAAATATTGCTATATTGTGACAAAAATGTTGCATGGTTCATGGTGTTTCTGCAAAAACCTAGAGGAATTGCCATAAGATGTGAACACAAGCATTAAATGTATATAAGAATATGGTTTGTGCATGTGTACATAGACTCTTACTATGTCAGAGGTGCTCTCCAGCAGAAAATTGATGGCTCTGTTTACATCTTCGTTGCAGTCATGGAGGGCTACCACGCACTCATCTTGAGTTTTCCCAGTTACCTCAATCAGCTGTGTTTGTGCAAAACAAAAATACAGCATTAAGTTAGATCACCATCTGATTCAATTAAGGGTCCCAACGTCAAAGAACTCCAAGAAAGTGTGCCAGCGATCCAAAAAATGTATTTGTCTGAAAGTGTGTACATGCACAAACACATTACCTGTTTGACTTTGTCTTCAAAGTCAGCATCATTTTTGTCATAGATCACTTGGGCTAAACGAATCTGTTCTGGTGTGGCCTGGTAAACAAACAGTTCAGTTAGAAATAATACAACAGGAACCTGGGGTCTTTTCACATTCAAACAATAAATCAGCAGGGCTGAACAGGGGCTGCCACACTGGCTACCAGGCAGCTTTTGGCTGCAAATAGGCTCACCATTTTTAATCACCTTATAATTTGAGTAATTAAGATACTATGCAGTACATCTGCATAGTTAAAATGTAACAAAATAATAAAATCTTTATGACAATAACCAAGCAAAATTAATTTAACTGTAGTCTGTGTTTTAATTGATACTTAACAGAATTTTAATCTCAGGTGTGATCAGTTAACATGTCCACCCTCAATTCCTGGTATACAAAATACCAGAAGTTCAGCTATTGTCATGTTCGTCACAGATCCCTAAAAAATAAATCCAGCATCGTTCGCTTGTTCATCCATTCTCTGTCAATTTGTTTGCGCCGATTCTCACCACAGATTCACTGGCTCTTCAGCTTTGAAGTTGACACCAACATAAGCTTGGTTATCATCTCTACTTTCAGAGATGACCCGTCTTAATTCTGCTTAGACAACTGAATCAACTCTTACATAGAGCTGAAGAGACTTCGGTGCACAGTCTGCTGTCCCTAATATGTTACGAATTGGTTGCCAATGTATCTTACACCACGTTGTATTTACACATTTCAGTGAAAGATGCTACAATCTGGGCAAAGGTATACAATGTAGGATGTATCCAGCCAACCTTTAAAAGTGTGAAACTACATTCTACATTCATTACAAAAATGTAGTTTCAATTATCAGTATAACATACAAAACTAGGGATTAAACCTTTTATTGTGCTAAAAAATAAAAAAGACAGACTATATTCAAATTGAGAAAGACAATTAGGCCTGGCTGCAACTCTGTACAATGGTCACAACCCACCTGTATCGGTTTCTGCGACTGCGTTTGTGTGGTCGTGGACAGTGTTCCGTCCCGAGTCCCCCGGGCGTGGTTGCTGACCACTGAAGTCATCATATACAGTATATACAAAACAATGTATGTACAAAATAGAAAAATCTAGGGGAGAGGGGACAGAGGCAAAGTTAAATGACATATACCCGTGAGATGGTTACATTGAATCACAATTCCTAGTAAAATACAATACTGAATAAATGTTGAATGCCAATACAATGAACTGAATGTGTGGAGCAGACTCAGACTCACTGTTGTCAAGTATACCATGTAAGACTATAATACCATCTGTCGCCCCCCAGCACCCCAGTTAAATTTAGCCAGCCAAGAGGGGACTGTCCGGGTGTCAACTTACAACCTTCCCTCAGTCTCCCACACAAAAACACAGCCAGTATGCACCAGCATATGCTATGGGTATTATAAATTATAACACTTTTCCCCATTGACAAAGTCAGGATAGCGACAATTATTCGGCATTTGAGTAAAAGTAATAACTAACCTAACAACAAAGGAACCTGGGCTTTATACCAGGCAAAACTGTGTCTATGGAAATCGAAAGCACTATTTTAAGCACTATTTTTTTTGTCCGTTGAACACACAATTACGGTGGGTTAGATTATATTACTAAGAGTTATTGGTTTTAGATAATACTACCAACTGACAACTTGTCCGCATGGGAACAAAACAAATGAGATCTATCGGCTGTGATCATGTCTGATAACCGTATGTTGGCTGACAGACGGTTAAGGTCAGCTCTATGACGTAACGTTAGCAATTTATCAGTATTTATCATTAAAGTGAATCCTTATCTAACGTAACTTATGACTGAACCGTAACCTTATTTAGGTGAAGGTTTCAAGAATCTCGGTGGAAACATGAGCCGCTAACGTTCACATCAGCGTTAGCTAGGTCAACTAACGTTAGCGCGAGCTAGCTACCGCTCGTCTTTGTTCCTTGTGCGATACACACACACCTTCAAACCGTCATGTTCTAATGGAGAGATATTAGCAGTGCGAACACACAATTAGCTAACCTGTAAGCGAATTAGATCCCTCTTCGGATAGACCCAACGACTCGGGAACAAAAAATAAACAAAGTGCGACGATGTACCCTTTGTGTTAACCAAGAGAAAAGCTAAATCGGATGTAAATTTAGTATAAGTTACCATCAGGCGAACATAAAATGAAATTGACAAACGTCGCGTGTTCATTCAACGTTAGCATGTACAGTGTCCAAAGCTATGTGCTAGGAATGCAATACGGTGTGTGGGGAAGAAAAGTTGTCGAAAAACGCGTGGCCCGTTCATGTTGAGCTACGACAGAGATCAGCAGCAGGCCGACTGCCCGGCATGTGAACGGCCCGTCCACATACAATGAATGCAGCACTACAGTAACGTACGGATACAACGCTGGTTACTTAGCTAGCTAGATAGCTAACCATCGAGGAGGACGAAAGGTTTCTCTGAATAGACCAATCGGTTTCCCTTAAATTAACATAAAAGTTATAATATACGACTTGGGTCGCTCAAAGGGCGTTTGAATCGAAAACATTAGCAAAACACATCTTATTCTTTCTTTTACCTGCTAACACGCTTCGCTCAGCCAGCAGCAGCAGATGCTGTCACGTGACCCACCGCGCCGTTGTTCAATGTTCTGAGGCCAACACTGCCAACCAAATTCCACCGAGCGGGTCAGGTGGTTCAGCGCCGTGCCCTTACGTGCGCGTTCCTGTCTGGGAGCGCGCTTCGCTGTAACGTTTTCAGCCTGAGGACGGGTGAAAACTTTCCTTACAAATTATGTGGTACATTTTCCATATAAGTAGCAAATTCCCCGCATATGTATACGTATGCTGATGTGAGATCACATATAGCCTACATGGGATGGGTTATGATTTAAGTTCGTTGTTGTTTAGTTTTTAGAGTAACAGCGTTTTTTTTTCTTGAGCCAAAACAGGTCGAGTAGGTTTCTTCGATGGTGGTGTAATAGATGTGACCCACGAATTTCGCAATGTCTTTATAGGCTGGCATCTCATATTAAATTTGAATTCAGCCCTTCACTCTCAGCAATGCTCTCTTTGTCATATATACAGTTTCATAATAAAAGGTCATTTGAATAGGCAAACAGACTAAAAACAACATATCTGCACTGCAGAACTCAGCAAATAATCATCAAATCCCCACTACCTAATATAAATATTTCACAACACAGAACACATCATCTGAACACCAGGCACATTTAATTTATCTTAAATCCTTAGAACTTTGTTTAGAAAAACAAATACCCTCAATGACTCAGCTGAAAATCAAAAATACACCAAATATTGCTTTAGAAAGCAAAGAAACATACGATTTATTCACATCAAATAAAATAGCAATACACTTGTCATATGCCACGTAAACAGCTCAGTAGACAAGATTGGGCCAAGACTGGGTTTGCAAAAGAATAACCCTGTTGGATTAGAATAAATGAAAAAATACAGTATACTACATAAATAGCAGCAATAAAAACAACTTTATTTCTTAAATACCAGTGATTCAAGTTTCCACAGTTGTATAATACATCTCCATTTTAAGATTAACTTGATGAATTATGATTTAAAAACATAAACGTAAGGATTTCATAATATACTATAGTTATCTGAATCAGCATGTATACAGCACTGAGGACCTAAGAGGAAAAATAACAACCCCATACCTGCACATAAGAAACACACACACACACACACATCTACAAATGGACATATGTTTCAAATCTGATTCTAATATATATCCTATATTATTGTCTCCATGTAGCACCAGGGACAAAAACACACTGGACCACTGCTACACTGTAATAAAGGATGCATATCGCTCAGTACCCCGTGCAGCTTTGGGACTCTCTGATCACTGTTTGATTCATCTTCTCCCGACCGGCAGGCAGAAACTAAAATCTGCAAAGCCTGTGGTGACGACTGTGAAGAGATGGACCAACGAGGCAAAGCTGGAGCTACAGCCTGCACTGTTTGGAATGTTTTTGAGGCTGCTGCTACAGACCTGGATGGGCTCACTGACACTGTGACATCTTACATCAGTTTTTGGGAGGACATGTGTGTGCCGAAAAAAACCTTCTGCACATTCAACAACAATAAACCCTGGTTTACTGAGAAACTCAGGCAGCTTCGTCGGGCCAAGGAGGAGGCCTACAGAAGTGGGGACAGGATCCTTTACAACCAGGCCAGAAACACACTGACGAGGGAGATCAAGGTAGCAAAGAGGAGCTACACTGAAAAGCTGGAGAAAAAGTTTTCAACCAACGACCCCTCGTCAGTTTGGAGAGGCCTGGATGTACTCACGAACTACAGGAGACCATCCCCCCCCCACTGAGGCCAATCACCAACTGGCTGACGACCTGAACGTTTTCTACTGCAGGCTTGATAAGCCGACTCTCACACCCCCCACCTGCCCCATCATCATCAAACAACCACCTACTCCCCCTGCCTCCTCCTCACCTCTCCCAACCGACCCCCCACCGGCACTGAGATATGCGAAGAGGATGTGAGTCGGCTCTTCCACAGACAGAAGATCAGGAAGGCACCAGGCCCAGACGGTGTGTCACCCTCGCGCCTGATAGTCTGTGCTGACCAGCTGGCCCTCATCTTCACACAGATCTTCAACCGATCACTGGAGCTCTGTGAAGTACCCTCCTGCTTCAAACGCTCCACGATCATCCCGGTCCCCAAGAAATCCTCCATCACAGGATTAAATGACTACAGGCCCGTCACCCTGACGTCTGTGGTCATGAAATCCTTTGAAAGACTGGTGTTGACCCATCTGAAGAACATCACAGGACCCCTGCTGGACCCCCTGCAGTTTGCCTACCGTGTAAACAGGTCGGTGGATGATGCAGTCAACATAGGACTACACTACATGCTGCAACACCTCGACTCCCCAGGGACATATGCAAGGGCTCTGTTTGTGGACTTCAGCTCTGCGTTCAACACCATCATCCCAGCAATACTCCAACCCAAACTCTCCCAGCTCACTGTACCAGCCTCCACCTGTCAGTGGATCACTAACTTCCTGACTGACAGGACGCAGCAGGTGAGGCTGGGAAAAATCACATCCAGTATTCGGACTATCAGCACTGGCGCCCCCCAGGGATGTGTGCTCTCCCCACTGCTCTTCTCCCTCTACACTAACGACTGCACCTCAGAGGACCCGTCTGTTAAACTCCTGAAGTTAGCAGACGACACAACGATCATCGGCCTCATCAGGGACGGTGACGAGTCTGCGTACAGACGGGAGGCTGAACAGCTGGTCCTCTGGTGTGGTCAGAACAACCTGGAGCTAAACAGGCTCAAAACTGTGGAGATGACAGTGGACTTCAGGAGGAGCCCCCCAACACTGCCCCCCCCTCACCATACTCAACAACACTGTGTCCGCTGTGGAGACCTTCAAGTTTCTGGGATCCACAATCTCCCAGGACCTGAAGTGGGCTCCCAACATCAACACCATCAGGAAAAAGGCACAGCAGAGGTTGCACTTCCTGCGCCAGCTCAAGAAGTTCAACCTACCTCAGGAGCTGATGTTCCTGTTTTACTCAGCCATCATCCAGTCTGTTCTCTGTACTTCCATCACTGTGTGGTTTGGATTGGATACTAAACAGGAGAGGAACAGACTGCAACGGATTGTCAGGTCTGCAGAGAGGATCATTGGTTCCAGCCTGCCCTCCATCCTGGACTTGTTCACCTCCAGAGTCAGGAAACGGGCAGGAAAGATCACTGCAGACCCCTCACACCCTGGACACAAGCTGTTCCAACTCCTCCCCTCTGGTAGGTGCTACAGGGCTCTGTACGCCAAAACCACCAGACACAGGAACAGCTTCTTTCCACTGGCCATCACTCTCATGAACAATATATAATATTGCACTACTACCTCTGTCTGTATTATATATATATATATATATATATATATATATATATATACACTTTTTTTGGGATATATTTATACTTATATTGTATATAGCTGTTAAATGTTTATACCTACATCTGTTCTACTTTTTTGCTGCCCTTTTTTATTCTTATATATTTTTCCTTGTTTATTGTAAAATAGTGTATTGTATGTACATTGAGAGCGGAGTGGAAACCGGAGACAAATTCCATGTATGCGTACACACATGGCCAATAAAGCTGATTCTGATTCTGATTCTGACATGGGAAAACATCTCTTCCCACAAGTGCCCTTGTGTAACACATATCTTAATGTCACACACATCAAGTGATATTTGTCCAGCAGTGAACTCTTAAAGCTTAAGTCAATTGAACATTTATAAAATAAAAGCAATACTAATATTGACGCATATTGAATATAGTGTTGTCAGTGAAAAATATATTGTGCCCTTATAAACATCACAGCTTTGCATACCTGATATTTTTTAATGTGTAGGCTACACTTAAAAATACTCATTTAAAATACTAAGTAATCAACTTAATGAATTCAAGTAGTTATCTTCTTCCCTGCCGTGTGGCTGGTTAGAATGACTCGGCTTAAGGTATGGCTGCAGCTGAGCTATCATGATCTGGACACAGTGAGCCTTTCTCTCCATGATATCCACTAGTTTGTGGACATACTCCCCAAATGCCTGTTGAGAGACAGCGAGAAAAAGAGTGGGGACAATTTAAATTCATTTTAAAATGTAGTTTACAAAAAGGAAGGAGCTAACAAATGTGGCTTTGATTAATTCTGACCATATCAGGTTGCTTGCACAGAAGAGTCCCCTCTTTACGACATAAAGCTTCCATCTCTTCTAGCTGCTCCCAATGGGCCTGGACAACACACCACCTAAAATTGGATTGGATTAGAAAAACAAAATATCTCATTGAAGCTAATAAGCTCTAGGTTGTGATTACTCCATTATCGTGAAATACACCACAGGTTTTCTAAATCTGTCACCAAAGAGTTCAGTATGATTTCTGTATCATGTCTGCAGGGTTATCATGTGATCAGATTTCAATATCACCGAAACACAGTTGGGTATTATCCTTATTTGTAGATTAATACTAGTGGTGTCTCAATATGATGTGCACTTGCTTCTCAAACGCTCATTTAGGATGATTATGGAAATAACAATGTGACATTCCTAGTACTTACTGCCCTTGATCCAAATCTTCCAGCGTAGACAGATTGATTATGGGTGTGATTTTCTGATTGCTGGTGCTCTCTTGACTATTTGATTCTATAGGACCGTTTTGTTGGAGTGAGATGTTTGAGTTGCTGGGATGATTTGAATGTACTGTGTGACACTGTTTTGGCACTGTGTTCAACTGGCCCAAAACACTGTCTGACTGTGGTGTTGAAATGGAAAAAGCAAGTTTGCTGAGCATATAGCGTGCATAATCTGGTGGCACATCGGTGTCACCATATGTCATTAGATTGTGTGAACCGGGTGAACTCGTGTTTCCAGACTGCTGGACAGAGGATGAGATGGACTGCATGACAGAAGTTTGCGTAGAACCACATTTAGAGGTTTTAAGTGGGGGTGCAGGAGGTATGTAGCCCAGGACGTCAATAGCTGGCGTAGTTTGGGGTTTCTGATTGTTCTCTTGATCCTGGAGAGAGACCAGCATAACCTCAGGGATAGGAGGCTTCATCATACCTGGACAAAATTTAAAAAAAAAAAGTTCACATACTAGTTCTTAAGCACTAGTTAGTCCACACACAAACACACACAGAACTTATATTTACCTATTCCACAATGGTCATATGTGGCACAACACATGCCTTTTATTTGCTCAGTGTGACTTGTAGCTGTCATGGTGTCAGAGATGAGAGGGCAGACAGTCTTTGCCTTTGGCAGCTCCAAAAAAGACAAGCGAAATTCCACGTCCTCATCCACTAAAATTTTCCTCGCCATCTCCTCATATGTGAGACGTTCTTTTTCTACTTCCCTCCTGTTATCTTCTCCCCTTTCAATCTCAAGCGGACACAGTGAGGTGTTTTTCTGTTCCCCTTGGAGGAAGGAGGCTGTGGCGGTCTGTTGGTCCACTGGAAGCACGGAGATCACTTCTTGAGGTAAAACAGACCTTTTGGCTTTGACCTCTTGATGGATGTGTACCATTGTGTAAGCTGGACTTTCAGATAATATGTTAAGGGAATCAGTGGAAATTTTACAACAACTCTGTGTGATGGGAGAAGTGAGAGGTAATGTGGCCGATTGAGAATTTGAAAAGTCTGTTCTATTAGCGTGAGCTGCAAACCGTTGTTGCTTCTCTCTATAGCTGCTTGATGGCACTCCATGTTGAGCATTTTGCAATGGCAGAGGTGCGATGTTTGAGGGGCATCGGGTATGATTAAACTTAAGAGAGAGATCACTGAGTTTATTAGGGGTCAGGAGTGAGTTGGTATGTTCACAGGCTGGGGAGAGGGGTCGTTCTGCTGGAGCTCGTTGATGGGATGACTCAGCTGGAAGGTGGTTAAAGAGGCTGTTGCTGGCAATGCTGCTGTGGGTGAACGGTAAACCATGGCCATCCGCCCCTTCTCGCTCCTCAGTACTCCACACTCCATCAACTGGGACATCTGAGGGATCTGTTTCTTCCCCACCCACTTCTCTCCTCTCTTCTGAGTCACAGTTGTACACCACTAAGGCCTCAACATCAGCTGGCATTGCACCTGTCATCCTGTTTGCCCGCTCTGTCTCTAATGTTGTAGCCCACCTCCTCTCTCTTCTTCCTTCCATCCCAGCTGGCCTCCACTCTTCCCTTCTTACCCTTACCTCTCCTTCACCTGTTTCCTTCTGTGACCTCTTCTCGTGTTTACCCCTGTCTTGTCCAAATATTGCCTCAGTTCCTTCCCTAGATAACCTCCGCTTTTCACCAACACCACCTGAGCCAACGTGACCAACCTCATCCTTATTTTTACTGTAGCTTGGGGATGTTTCAGTTTGTAAGCAAATCTCTCCACTGGGGAAGAAAGAAGACTTTTTACTGTTACAATCGGCTCTAACCTCAACCCTAGCTCTGTATGCATCTAAAACGTCTTCCAAACCCAGATACATTCGGTCAGAAACTGAGAAGCAGGAAGAGTGTTGGAGAGATGAACAGGAAGATGGAGAGACAGAAGAAGATAGAGAGGCCTGATTAGAAGAAGAAAAAGTAGAGGGTGATAAGAGATGGACAGATGAAGAAGCTGATGAGGGTATAAACTGCTGCAGTTGCTGGTGATACTGTCTCAGATGCCTCTCCTTCTCCTTATTCCTTTCATTACCTTTTTGTATACCTCCTTCTCTTAGCCTTTCTACTTCACTACTTGTGTCTCTACTTTCCACTTGTCTTCCCTGTTCTATCCATCTTCTTTCCTCCTTTCTTTCCCCTTTCAAAGTGCTTTGCTGAATATCTTTTTCTCTGTGGTTGAATCCAGATTCCTTCTGTACCTTCCTCAAGAGAATCTGCTCGTCTGTTGCTTGTCCCAAGACCAGCCCTGCAATGACCTGTTTTTCACCATCTGAGTGGCCTACACAGCCAGTTACTTCATACCTTTCTCTTCTCCTACCTTCCCTCCCACCTGCTCTCTTCCGAGTATCACCTATTCCCAGCAAACCTCTGACTGGTGTAATGTGTTCAAGTCCAATCCCCTTTCTTGTGCTTGGACTTGTTTCCTCTCCCCACCTGCTGGTTTTGGGTGTCGAGCAGAGAATTGAACTCCCCGCGGTCAATCTCGTGGTAGGTGTGGTGAGGCTAAAATCCTCTCTTTGTCGCCCTAACTTTGGCTTTTTGGGGGGCCTTTTCCCTCTGGTGCTAACAATGTTGCCTCCGCTGCTGCTGCTGCTGTTGGACAGGTTACATTTGGGGGAGTGTATTGTTTTGCCCCTTCTTCCTCTTCTCAGGCCTATTTCTCCCCTCAACTCCTTCACCCTATGAAAAATCAAAGTGTAAAATCTCAAATAGCAGTCACAGATGATTGTCTCTTCAGTCCCTGACACTATACAATTATTTAAAAAAAAAGGACTGGATAAGTTGTAAACAATGGCACCAAGATGAAAACAGAAACTTTGTATTTAAAATATTATACTATTTTAAATTTCCACGATTTAAAGTATGATGAATGAAATCCATTAGGGCTCTAAGAAAAACAACAAAGATTTTCCAGCAACAAATATCCCATGCACACTAATTGTATACACTTACCGGTCGGCGTATCTCAGTGTATTTAGTGTGTGCTCAGTTGCCAAGTGACCAGGTGAAATGTTGGCAATCATGCATGTCATTGAGTCTCCAACAAACGAGTCTTTCAAAACCTAGAAAGGAGGCAATGTCGTCCAAAACACAGGAGAGTTTATTGATCAAACTGGGCAAAAACATCAAATACACATTGTATCACTAACACACACTCACAACAGAACCACTGAAAATTGGCCAGTGGCAAAAGTCTTAGTACCTGAGTAAGTTTGCTTTGTCTGAAAGGTGTGTGGGACTGCTCTTGATCAAGGGACCGGATACATTCTTTGAGCTGAGAAAAAACAAATGAGAAAATATATGAAATCATTCAATACCTTCTTCAATATCTTTGACTTTATGTGTGATCTCTGAGTGTCTGTATGTGTGTGTGTGTGTGTGTGTGTGTGCGTGTAGCTTACAGCCAACAGACTCTGGTTGATCTCAGCTCCCTCCATACGACTCTGCCTGTCTGGTTCTTTGGTATCTGATGCCCTCTCACTTCCTGCTAGGTCCACAAACCACATTCTACAGGCACAAACACCTTTCTTAGTTCATTCATTTCACACTAATACTACAGGACTTACCTGATCTACTATACAATAGCCATAGTAGTGCTTTGAGTAGAAAAGAAAACCCGTCAGAAAGTTTGTACACCATAATAAGCCTACAATAGAATAAAACACATGTAGTCCACTCACCTACCAGCAATGTGCTGGTTTGTATCTCTTAGCTGAATCTGAAGCAAGGCATGGGAACGAGAGGAGAGGGGATTCACACCACTCATCCCTTGTGTGCGCTCTTCTGTGCCCTGTGAAATCACCTTTATAAGGGCAATGAAGAATGTGGAAGGGAGACATGGGAAAGAGAGAGACCATTCAATGAAGAAATCATAGAAATACAACAGAAGAAAACTTCTAAGTACCTAAAAGTATGCAATCAAGTGTTTCTTGTGACAACAAATATAGATTTAAAGGCACAGTGTGTGGGATTTGTTGGCATCTAGCTGCGTGGTTGCAGAATGCAACCAAGTGAATACCCCTCTGCTCACTCCCTTTTTTCCAAGACTGCGGTGATATGAGCCACCAAGCACAAAATCTTCAAAAGACGTTAGACTCGCTCAGAGGCCATCCTTACAATTATAACACCTGCAACGGAAGTTAGAGGGCAGCTAGAAGTACCACTGCTTTGCTCTGCGACTCATGTTACTGCTATTTTTACAAGCATGTCACAAGAACTACGGTGGCCTTCAGGTAATGTAAAAACACGAAAGCATCTCTCTAGCCAGTGTTGTGTTTGTCTATTCTGGGCTACTGCAGAAACATGGCAGTGCTACATGGCGGACTCCGGGAAGAGGTCCTGCTCCCTATATATGAAGGGCTCAGTCTAAGCCAGTGGTTTTCAACCTTTTTTCAGTGATGTACCTCCTGTGAAATACTTTTTCCCCTAACCAGCGCATAGCATTTTTGGTTGAAAAAAAGATCATCAGTGTCTGATTTATTAAACTGTCAACACTGAAGATTGCATTGTTTAGGATAATGAAATTGAATAGCCTACTGAATATAAAATTCAGTTTATAAACTTACACTTATATTTTATTGAATATTTAATAAATAACAATTTTCCAAGGATTTTTGAATGGATGCTAATTTTAAATACATATTTTTTAAATCTCACGTATTTGAGAACCACTGGTCTAAGCTAACAAAAACACAACGATTCTTAGTCTCATAATCCAGCTCTTAACTACATAGCATGGACAAGAGGATATTGGTAAAGAAAGGGGGAAACCTCCAACAGTGAGCTGACTGAGTCCACTCTGACATCACGCAGCCCAACAATGTGAACCACCTTTTGTCCATCCTCCCTGGCAAACAACCTAATGAAAGAAGAAATAAAAAGAGAGAGAGAGAAGAAATCAAAAAAGCAGAAAATCAAGGTTTCTCATACATCCAAGTAATAAGAAGAGGTTTACTTTGATGATGATGTTACCAAAAATGTATCATGTCTGTGGGAAAACTGACACATCTGTTTTTGATCAATTGCTATCCGGTTATCTTTTCATCTATTTTTAAAAGCAACTCCACCTCAAACATTCTTAAACTCTTTTAACACAAACACACCTTTTTCTGTGATCCAACAGGTCATACAGCTGACCACAGTAGATTTCAAAGAAACTGACATACACCAGCAAGGGTGAGTGCATATGAGCGGTGGAGAGGTAAGCAAAGATGTCCCGGACTGCCAGTGCATACAACCCTGGTCTCACAGGAGAACCCAACATGGTGTGAGTCTTCCCTGCACCTGTCTGGCCATATGCAAAGCAGGTGGCCTTACCTCTATGGAAAAACACACAGAACAAATAAAGATAGCTAGAGAGCACAGATTCGTAGAAACACAAAGCCAGAAAAGCATGCACATTAAGCCCCACAATTGACTCATTTGAACTTCAGTGCATTTGAAAAGAAAGGATGGTAGGTCAATGCTAACCTACCCATTGAGCATGTGCAGTACCAGAGGATATGCTGTTCTTCGATACACATCCTCGTTGGAGCTCTCCGCCCCAAAAACCTGGTCAAAGTAGAACTTGTGCTGCAGGGACAAAAGGGCAAGGGGCAAGACAATAAATAAACAAAACAACAGCACAATGATCTGACAAGGTGACCTTATACACAATTCCAGTATTTAATTGTGAAAAACATTACTTAAAGTGGCAAGCTCAGATTTTCATTGAAATGAATGTCTGTTAAGTCACAATCGAAGTAAATAACACAAAGTTGATAGAGCCTATGGCCCACTAATGAAAGTATTACAATATTTACATATTTGTAGTCTTAGTTTTACAGTTTTTATACATTGTAGACACACAAAAAATGGAAATATGCACACAATTCTGAAAACATTATGTATCAACAAAAAGACTCCATACTGCTAAACTGAGCACAAATCCCTTGTTTTTACTCAAATGGAAATTCTAAGTTAACCAGGATGGAAATCTTAAGGATTGCCACTCTCACGTCATCATAGTTTGATGATAACGTGTGTTTATTTGGAGACACTTCTATCTTTAGTTGTACCAACCGTATTGATACAACACCGTTTCAGAAAAAACATTGATCTGTCATTGTCTCCTCTCTAGACGTTATATCTACCTGTAGTTTGTACTGTGAGAGATCCACAGCCTCTTTATTTTCATGGACAATCACACACTCTCCACTCGGAGTTGTTACAACATCTGCCTCTCCTCTCCTGCACTCTTTGTGTGTCAGAGGTCTTTTCCTCAGACACACACTGATCCGTTGCCCTCCTAGTTGCCTGCAACACACATGCACACACCCCAATTACAGACAATTAAAGTCAGGATGATCATGTGCAAAGGAAACAATGTTCATATGCAAAAGAAGAGACACAACCACATAAAGAATGGAATTTCTTTTTGACAAAGACATTGTGCAGGCACAGGAAACCTTCACCTAAGTGTTGTAGCCATTTGGAAATTTACTTTCTGTATGTCTTTCATGTATTCAATAAATGTATTTAACATACTGTGGCTGTCTTCACTAAGATGCAAATTTGCAAGTAGGGAGTTACCCGTGAAGACAACACAAACCACTGCCACTTACTTTTTGTTTGGAGCAGGAGGGGAACTCAGTGGTAGTCCGTAGTTGTAGCCAGCTGTTCTCTTTGATTCATAAACAGGTGTTGGCTTAACCGTGTGTTCAGTAGCCATGTTACTGCTTATTTCGGTGTAGAGTTTTTCCTTCCAAGAGAATCCTTTTCTCACTTTGTGCCCAACTAGTTTGTTGCTAAACCTACTATGGAAATCTGGCCTGTGGTTGTTCTTCCCTTTGCAGCCACTTCCAGTGTCAAGCTGCACAGGTATGGCTGATCCTTTGCCCTGGCCTGGCACATTATTTCTATTATGACTTGTGCAGACATGAACAGTGTCTTCTGGACAAGAAAATAGCTTCAGCTGATCCATGGTTTCACAACTGAAATCAAGCTGCCTGCGAACGTGTGACGGTTTGGAAAAACTTGTTGTATTTAGCTTACTCACAGCAGCACCCTTCTCATCGTCATCATCGCATACATTGTTGTCAGGATCTACACAACCATCATAAGTAAAGCTACTATCTGCTCCAGGGTAGCCTTCATCACCACCATCAGCATCGTAATCTGCATCATCATCCTCATATTCAAGGTCAAGAGTTTTCACCATTTTGACCAGATGGAAGAGCCGAGTCCTGTCCTCCATAGAGCGGATTCCCAGGATGGGATAGTCCTCCATGGTCAGCACCGAAAGGTGGGCTGCACGATGAACACCGAACGAGGTAAACCTGAAGGACAGGAAACAGAGCAAGAAAGATGGTCTGAGGAGGGAACAGGACAATTGTGAGTTTGGATGTGATGTGAGTGAGCTTACCTGGCATAGTGACTCTGTAGCCCGACAGCCCTCAGACACTCATAAAGGCAAAGTGGCATTTCCTCACCTTCCTTTTCTCTCTCTTTTTCTTGTACTTCTTTCCGCTTATACCCTGGCAGTGGCAGACATGTTGCTTTAGTCTCTTCTTCGGTTAATCACACAAAGCAAAGGCATGCAAGAAATGACCGCAGGCTACAACTAGAGTAATTATTTGACAACAGTTTAAACAAACAGAAATAAACTCACAACAACTACAAACTTGAATCGCACCTACACAAGCACCATACACTGCTTTTTCCAAGACAGGGTGCCTTGCTGTTTTCTCTTCCTCAGTGATTCCCGTCACAGACTGGCATTACTACCACGCCGCACAGTTGTTGTGTCAAGCAAAGCGCACAACACTGGTATGATGCTGACATTTGACACTTTGTCTGGATGGAGCCATGGCAGCACAGTGCAACCATGTCACACATTTATGTGTCTTAGCAAATATGGTAAATATAGCAGACACAGACATGCAACTGTTGCTTCCAAGACTACAGTCGATTGGCTGGCAGCAGTCCTGCCCTATGTCACTTGAATGAGGCCTCCTTCATATGCATGCATATTATGAAACAGTACACTGCGCCAAATCATCCCCCTCTCTGAGGTCTACATTTCCTCCGGGGTGTGCCACAGTCCTTACAGCAAACACCTGTTGGGATTTGTGTCAGCAACTGTTCATTCTGCAAATTAAATTACAAGAAGACAACCCGCAGAGCAGTATTAATTTACACTTAAGACCAGCTTAGCCATAGAGTATGAAGTAAAGGAGTAGTGGGTTGTTGATCTCTGTCCATAGCAGAGATGGTCTGTTATTACAACAACAAACCCACACCTCAAAATAAAGGAAATTATTGTCAAATAAAAATTAACATTCTACATCATTAGATAATGAAGTGCTTGTGCTTCACAAATAGTTTTATGTATGAAATGACAAACTGTAAAGCTGATGAGTTTCTCCAAATGCCAAGAAAATAGAAATAGAAAACGTACCTTAACCACTCCAGACTCTTAAGCAACTTTTGACAAATGAGTGAACACGACGGTTTATCTGAACAAGCAGGAACTGACAACATGCATTCATTTTTCACAAAGTTAGCAGCGTGAGTAGTATCACTATTTCCGTACACAAAGTAGGTCTCCATAGCGACGAAAACGGCGTGAGGACGGCGCTTTATTTTCAAGCTGCACAGACAGGTCTTGATTGGTAGACTCACGGGTGGCAGAAGTTAGGTTGCGAAATTATATCTGGTTTCAGAAGGACAGCCGGTCAAATTACGCTCACTTCAGCATGAAAGAGATATAATCCCTTAGAGGGCTTAATGCCCACCAACAACCCTGCTTAGACAAAAAGCCTTCTCAGACTAAACCATTAGGATTGCCCCACTGGCTTTACAACAGACTGTATGGAGAGCAATGGACTACTAATAGACATATATTGTATGGGCTCATTAATGATAAAACACATGGATTATTATTGTTATTTATTTAGCTATTTTTTTTTTAGCTATTTAGCTATTATATTCTTTAGCTAAAGTATTGCATATAGAGCATGTATAGACAACATGGCTACACCCATGCTCTGTACATTACAATACATTTTAAACTGACAATTTGGTTTACCCTAAGAAAAATAAAGATAAAAACAATCTGTTAAAATGTCACGTTAATAGTAATAACAGTACAATAGCAGTTTTATTTGTTGTATTATCTTCATCATTTACCCTCATGGGTCCCAGGTCTCTGCGATAACCCTATATAGTATATTGGTAAATTTTATAGGCCTACTTTAACTATATATTACAGCCTATACCTCACCAGCAAATGCATTCATGCATACCTTGTGCATTCTTGGCAAACTCTCAGATGGCAATTTAGTTATTAAATAATGTCGAGTCATAAAGGGGAAGGACGCCATAGAATCTCGTTCATCAGACCTTGTTTCACTGGGGACAACATTGGACGTAACACACAACATTGGCTCTTCCTCAAACCAGACTGCTCTGACACATGGCTCACTTGAAACGCAGACGACGTTTGGTTTGCATTTTTTTTATTTGATATATGTCCAAATAAACATGTAATGCAGGTACAGTATTAGGACATGAACGGGTACTTAATTATTAACACGTAAGAAGCCGCATTAAAGAGGAAACTACTCGTGCATTGCTTATTGCTTACTTTCCGAATTGTTCGAAAATACAAGCATTCAATGTAAAGAAACATTTAGACTGGGGAGGAAGATAGAGATGGCAGGTTGCAGGAGCTTTAAACAAGTCTATCCCAGGAGAAACAGAGTGCGCCCCAGATAATCTGGAATATCGCTATAGTGAAAAAGTTCGTGGACCGCAATATGAACCAAATTCTGATGAATAAAACGTTTCTTGGTATTTATCTTTCTTCCCCCTCTCTCCCTCTTTTTTTGTATCTCAATCACTAACTCACATTTTTTTATGATAAATTAAGGGTTGCTGTTTGTAAATGACTACCTTTAAGAAATATATTGGTGCACCTAAAACTGCCAGTGTGTTTCTTTCCTCTCCTTAACTTTTTAAATATTCATGCAGCATCTCATCTCCAAAATAAAAGTGGAGCAATTGAAAGAAGCATATGTTCATCTGGAACACCTTTCAGCAATATTTTGTATTTTCTGTTCATCAGTGTATAACCGATTGGGATTCACAGGTCAGCATCTTAACCCGGTTCAGTGACAGAAATATTATTTGGAGAAACACAAAACCTGTGCCTTGTTCTTTTCATGTGAATTGCATTGCAAGTGAATTGAGTCTAATAGGTTTGCATGAAAACAACATTCATTACTATCTATTTTGCTATTAATCATGTCCTCACAACTAAAATTAATTTTGAATTATATTCTTATTCATACCAGGAAACCTGCTGTAAGAAGTCATCAACATGTCTTCTGAGGAAGAGACTTCTCAGAATTCCTCTTCCTCCACTCCCCCTCCCTATTCTTCTTCTTCCTCCTCCTCCTTACCTCCACCTGCCTCCCACTTCATCGGGAAGAAAGAGGACATTGTCAAGGCCGGGCGCGTGACCAAGATGGTGAATGGATGCAGAGATATACTGGTTCTGCACCACCAGGGGCAGCTTCATGCAATGGACACACGCTGCTACCGTAAGCTCAGTGTGTGTTGGTTTTTACATATGCAGGAAGCTATAATTGTACAGCCTGTCCTCACCTTTAGTTGGTGTCCTGTTGACAAATTTAGAAAGATGATTTCATTTATTGTCGTATTATATTTTCAAGTGTGGAATTTAATTTCTGCAATGGCTCATCACACTGAGGCCTATAAGACACTTGTTTTTCCACTGACAGATTCAGGTGGTGCATTACAGTATGGAGACATTGAGGTAAGTTTTTATTTTTTATTTTATTGCAGTAAAGTAGCCATTTAATGCTTGTAATATTTTGTGTCAGTTTGTTGCAATGCCCTTGTTCAATCTTTCCTGTGTATAAAAAATATATTTTCAAAGTTTTCTCATAAGACTTCCTCTATAGCTGCACAGTCTTATCTCCCTTATCACCTTCATGCTGTGCCAACATCAGGAGTTTAATGGGCGGCTGTGTATCGTGTGTCCGTGGCACAAGTACAAGATCACACTAGCAGAAGGGGAAGGGCTTTACCAAGCTGTGGATGATCCTACAGCCAAACCCCTGAGAACACACTGGCGCTCCAAGGGTGTCAAACAGAGGATTCACAAGCTCACTGAGGTCAACGGGAATGTATACGCAACATTGAACGACTCTAGTGAGGCCATAGAGTCAGACGTCTACCAGACTGAGAGATATAGGACTGACTTACTCAAGACCCAGCCAAAACCCATGGCCAAGAAATAACCAGACTCTCAGATGATTGATGACTCAACCACAAATACTGAAATGCTTTAAGGACAATGTGAGAAGTTTTGTTGTATTTCATTGGAAAGCATATCAAACCCCTTCAGAATCCGTTTGTCACAATAATAATTATCAAAAAACTGTGACCAAGTGTGTGAGCCAATAAGCCTGTAAGGTTTATATGAGTCAATCTATGACGTATAATGTATGAATCTCTGTAGTAAAATATATATATATATATCTATTATACATATATATCTGCAATTGCAGGGTGTGTATCATTTCAGTGCTGATTTTTGTGCTTCAATTGGACATCCTTAGAGTTTTGTGCTGTTTACTGTTCCTGTGCTCTTGCTCTGATGGACACCGTTTGTTTTAGCAAGATCAGAAAACATAACTGAAGACATTGAACAAATCGGTAGGTATGATTTAGAAATGTCTTTTAGAATTAGAGTTTTTTTTACACTGAACTTCGTCTGCTACAGAATATTGTGGTTTCTAATTATTAAATGGTTCAAATAAACTGTTTATTTTTGGTAGACAAAAAGGATGATTATTTTTATGTTCCATTGTCACGATAAATTATATGAGACTTATTATGATGCTATTGTGTCATTTGTCATATTATATACACAGCTACGTTCTTCTAAACACAGTTCAACAAAAGTGTAAAATTATAGATAATTACAATGCTGATTTTACAACGAAAACATTAGATCAGCTTGTAAAATATGAAGCATTGGTATATGAAACTACCCAACAGTACATAGTAGTCCAAATTACCTCAAACTTGACCAACTACAACAGTATATGCTACTTCCACATCATTGTTTTAGTAACTGCAATCAATGATGAATATCACAATCACAATGGTTGTTTGTCTGCATCACAAATACTTACTTTTCATACTTAAAGTACATTTTGCTGATAATACTTCTGTTAATTTACTTACCTCAGATTTTGAATGCAGGACTCTTTTTACCTGTAGTTAGTATTTTTGTATTAAGTATTAATAACATAAGATATCTGAATGTTTCTAATCAATTCTAGGCTAAGTGAGTGAAAACAAATGTTTGGGTGTACCGTGGATGTGAATGTACGCCACAGCCCAACGGCCGCTAGGTGGCAGCAGTGCACCACGTGATACCAATATGAGCAGTAGAAGAAGAAGAACATAGCAGCAGCGGGCTACTGTTGTGGGTCACTATCAACGGAACTAGCTTTATTTTTCGCAAGTGTCAGTGTTTACTGAATAATAAATTGCCAGATTATCCAGACCTTGAAGTGTGCCTCGTTTTTGGATAGTGTTTAAACTTTCGAATCAAAGATTGAAGCTAACAGAAGATAAAGCTCCAGGACAACAACAGTTGTCACTTTTTGGTCTCTCTTGGTTTCAAGTATCTTTGCCGTGATGGCATCAGGTATGTCTCGCTTTAGTCCGACTGATGCAGATAATAATGACGTTATTTCACAGTTTTGTAACGGTACAGTTAAATTGTTTCCAACATTTCCTCAGAGGAAGAAATCAATTTGCTGGTCATCGTAGTGGACGTAAACCCGGTGTGGTGGGGGCAGCAAGCTCAACGTGAGACAGAGGTATGAAGTCTTTCTGTGGACGGTTTTCAGATTGTAGGTTTTTTTTAATGTGGCTGCGGCTAAACAACACCGTCCACTGTCCTCTTGTCTCCTCTCAGCTCAGCTTGTCGAAGTGTCTGGATGCAGTGATGGTTTTGGGCAACTCCCACCTGGCCATGGGCAGGACGAACAAGCTGGCCGTCATCGCCAGCCACTGTGAGGACAGGTAACCTGATAGAGCAGTTTCCTGTGGTGAAGACGTATTACAGTTACTGAGGTGATGGGGGGGGGGGGGACAACAAACAAGGGCTCATAAATGACATGACTTTGGTTTGTTTTCGGCTCACGGCCCCTCACAAACAGAAAACAGTGTCTAGTTGGGGCCCTTTGTCACATTTCAGAGGTCTGGAGTTGTTAGCAACACACACCAGAGAGTTGATCTTTAAACCTCTCAGATGGTGTCATGTCAATTATAATTTGTATTCAGAATTTCACAAAAAATAAAGATTCAGGCCAAAGTCCATAAATGAACACACTTGTGCAGCGGAACGCTCTTTTCTTATTTCCTACCCCAAAAATCCCCTCACAGATTGATGTTGTGGCCCTTTTGAATGGTGCTCGACCACTAAGGTCTGCACTACCCAACAGTGTTTAAAACGGTTAAAACTAGCTCCACCTCGACCGGCTACAACAGTTAACTACTGCTGACAAATGAATGCATTAACAATCAAAGACTGCCATTTATAATCGTATCACTTATGGGCCATTTATCTGCAGAAGCAGCACTTTTACTTATTTACTATTTCTTACGTAGTGAAGTATTTCTACATTGCTGTATTGGTACTTTTACTTACTACGGTAGGAGTACTTCTTCCGCCACTGTCCCTTTCTAGGATTGAATGTCCGACTGTCTTGATGAACGTAATGCTTTGCTCCTGTCACTTGTATTTTATGCATATCACTCCAACTTACTTTGTTTCAGTCACTTTCTGTATCCCGGGAAGAGCTGGAGAGCGGGGGACAGCGGTGGGGATGATGCATACTCCAGTGGGGATGGAAAGTATGAACTCCTGTCAGTCGCTAATAACCTTATTGCTGAAGAGATCAGAAAGGTAATGTCAAAAAGTAAGTACAAGTCTTTTTCTGTGTGGGTAAAATGTACATCAAATACATACAGTACAGTAGATTTAAGTACATGGGCTTTCTCAACATACCCAAATGTTTGGTAGCTGTGTTTGCAGTTAATGTGTTGTATTTCTAGCTTTATTTTCAGGTGTTTAATGAAGCTGTGTAGAGTATGAGTGACTCCTTAAAATGTACAATGTGTCTTGTGTGATTACAGCTGAAGTGAGGGGAAATTCAACTGATACTTTGTTGGCTGGAACCCTTGCCAAAGCTCTCTGCTGTATCCTTTAAATAACAACAACACTATGAACAGTTGTATCATTTATGACATTCTGTACACAGCAATGTGTACAGAAGACGAAGTGACGGAGAAGTGTTTTGCAAATTCCTTAATCCGTTAATATTCAGATGTTAACAGGGTCTCAAAGGAGTTTGAAGGTAGTAAAATGTTTTTAATAAGCTTAATGATGCTCTTTATGGGTCCCTTCAATACTTATTAATGTTGCCTTTTCTTTTTTCAGCTGGACAGGAGATAAAATCAAGAATATTGGTACGCTCTGAATGGTCTAATTTCACGAGTGCTTTTGTTTTATTGCGTGACTTTGAACACGGCCTCTGTGTTTTATCCGTTAGGTTATAAAAGCAGCCGAGGACTGCCCCCGCCAGTACATGAACTTCATGAATGTCATTTTCGCTGCCCAAAAGCAGGTACAATCACTGATCCTGCTCGTGTTTTCTGTCCCGTTTACTTTTTTAACAACTGATATTTTTTAAATTCTAAATCAATTTGTTTTGTATTTTCAAACAGAACATCCTGATCGATGCCTGTGTGTTGGACTCAGACTCAGGTCTCCTTCAGCAGGTATATTTTTATGACTTTGTTAGGACATTGACAATACTGTAGTTTCATATTTTTGACCTTTTCGATGTTTGTTTTGTAGGCTTGCGATATAACTGGAGGATTGTACCTCAAGATACCACAGAAAGTTGCCCTGGCACAATACCTTTTGGTGAGAGTGCAATACAGATGTTCACATTTCTGTGAGTATGTTGCAGCTGCTGTGTGTTGACGACGGAGTTTTGTGGACAGTGGGTGTTCCTGCCGGACTCTGATCAGCGTTCACAGCTGGTGCTGCCACCGCCTGCACACGTGGACTACAGAGCTGCATGTTTCTGCCACCGTAACCTCATTGAGATCGGTTATGTGTGCTCAGTCTGTCTGTCAAGTAAGCTCGATTCCCAGTTAAAAAGAAAGAAATGCATAACCTCAATCTTTAAATTACTGGCAAAAGCTGCAGCTACAGTATGTTTTTGTGGTGACGCTTTGTCCCGTCTTCTCTCATTCAAGTATTCTGCAACTTCAGCCCCATCTGCACAACTTGCGAGTAAGTCTTTGAAATAATATATACTGTATAGAAAACCTCTTTCCTCTGAACACTGTTTACATACTGTACATCTGGAATCACACAATGTGATTTAATCTTCACTTTGTCTGCACTAATATCGAAAATATTTTTCTTTTTAGGACTGCCTTCAAAATCCAACTCCCACACATGGTCAAGCCAAAAAAGAAGAAACTCAAGCAGCCTTCCTGATTGTTACGCTAATGTAGTGAATTTAGTTTGTTTCCCTTTTTTGATGACCAGATTATACCATTTTGTTTGGTGTATATATTTGTAACAAGCTTCACATACGTAGGCTGATTACTTAACTGTTCTCAAAATAATAATTCCTGTCTCATGTCAAGAGATTCAAGTTCATCTCTACCGGTCAAATATTTCTTCGTGGTAGAAACAAATAGTTTTTCCAGAAAACTTTAGTCAATAAGTGCACATGCAGATATGTAACGTGTGCCACTATACGTATGTATTCAACATTCTCTCATGAGTCTAAATTTATGTGATTGTTTTGTTCATATTGATAGTAACAACTGGAACAGAAGTTCAGCTGTTTATGTTTAGTAAAGATAATTCACTCAGCCTGATGTAAATGGAGTTATTGCTTTTTTTTTTATTGATTTTATAAAAAAATAAAACATGTTCTTAGAAATGTTTCACACACCTTTTGTTTGCCGTTGTCACCACAGTGTGGACTTTTTAACATGCATAGCTGTGCAGATTCAGTCTTTTAGCTAAATGACGTGTGGAGGTGGAAACATTTGAGTGAATGAGTTCAGTGAAAAGCTGTATTAAACCAAGAACATGTTTTCAAGTTCACTCAAAACTAAATAACATGTAAGTAAGTAGAAGTATATGTGAATTAAAGTGGTAATTATTTTGGTGTGATGATCCATCATCTTACCAAGATTTCCTGATTTGCTGCTCTTGCATAACAAGATGGATCATGTTTTATCCAAGAGTTGAAAATAAGATTTCATTGATGATTGTAGCAACGTTCATATTTTACAAAGTCTCCAATCATTGATTTTCAGTGTCTGTCCACTTTGTAATGATATCCTAAATTAAGCCTTTGTATGAATGTTTGTACTTTGTATTGAATATGGTGGTAATCGCACACTTGATAAAGATGAATTGCAATAACATTCGCTGAGTGAAAGCATGCTCCCGAGAGAAACATTTAATTGTTCGAACATACAAGATTTGAATCGGTGTAGTTGAATGTAGCATTGCTTATTCAGCTGTTATTCAATAAACTCAGCATGGCCTCTTCAATAGTGACACTTTATTTTCATCTACACCATTCTGAAGTCTGCCCTTCTATAAAGAAAATAGTACCAGTTTAAAATATAGAGAAATTAAACGGGTGAGAAATGTCTGCAGTGTGTACAAAGTCAGCTTGAAAGCATCCAGGGGTCACATGAGACGAGGAAGGGGTTCACAATTGAAATTCTGCATAATGTCATGTTGATCATTGCTGGATTGGAACAATGTTGCATCTGAAAAACAAGAACAGACTAGTGACTGATGTGAACCACTTAACACCTGCCAATCATGCATCTGATGTGGTGCACTGATCAAAATCACTGCCGCTATATATGCAAGAGAGACATATTTGCCCAGCTCACTTTGCTCCTGTGGGCTTCACAGCTTTCTGTGTTTCTCAATATCAGCGTATCAACTAGACTCTTAACTAATTATATATATATATATATATATATATATATATATATGCACCAATCCATATACATGACTTGGATAGTGTCTGTAGCACTCACCCCAGCAGACCTCTGCCTGACCATCGCTGTGGAGTCAGGCTCATCTGAGCTTTCTGGCCGTCCCGGATGACTGTGACGCGTAATGGCTTCTGTAAAAAGACATGATATTGCAGTTTACGTCACAGGTATTAAGTGTGTGTTACAAAAGGTAACCCATGGCCGGGCAATGTGAAAAAAAATGGATATAAAAGGCGATTACCAGAATATTTCTTCTAATTCTAACAAAAGGTCTGATAGGAATGAAAAACAAAAGGTGTAAATGATGTCAGGAACTTACACCTTCACTGTGTTGAACCACAGAAGCAATATTCTGGAGGTTCTGAAAGTTCTCCGTGTTCACAGAACCAAACTCGATGACTTCATCACCAACCCGGACGCCCTTATGAAAGAAACAACACATTTACTATTGTCTCTGGAACAAAAACAAGTACGTTTCAATTAAATCTCAACCTCAACTAATTCTGATGGTTTATCTGAAACAACTACCAGGTACAAAAGCGTATTCCACACATCACTCACAGCTCCACAGGCCGGTGAGCCTTGTGTCACAGCATCCACCCGTGCAAAGGGAGGTGGAAGAGTGACCTGTTGCTCCATCGCCTCCTCCGTCGCCTCCTCCTGGTGTCCAGCACCATCCTGTTCCCGCTTGGCCTTCTCCCGAGCATGCAGCCTGTGTAGGGCTTCTTCTATCTCCTCCATGATGGCCTTGTGATCGTTCTGCAGGCCTGAAAGACAAAGCAGTACCTCGAACATAATAATAATCATTAGCAGCAGACAGTCTTAAGTTGATATAATGATATACGATATTTTATACTGTAAGTATCATCTTGAAAAGTGATATCAGTATCAGTGCAAACTTAATTAATTGCCAATATTTTGCCCGTCGTTGTACTGGCATCATATGATGTATTCTTCTGACAGTGTGTCTTGATAAACATTTACATTTAGATAAAGAAATGATCTGAAAATCGTTAATTGTTTTAGTTCAACGTGTAAACTACTACATTTTGGTGTCACATATATACATTATGTGGGAAAATATCACTCCCTTTTTGGACCTCACACATCCCTTTTAATTGTTTTTAACTTTAAAACAGTATAAATACTATCATCAGACATGTCTGTGTCCAATGAAACGAGGGGATGAAGTGGGTGTGACCTTTTGTTTGGGAGTGAAGCACTCTTTCCAGAAAGCAAAGCTGCACAGGACACAGTGCCACGAATTGGTAAGTTCACTCTGGCTTTTCAACATGTTTAAATTGAAATATCTTCATTTAAAAAATGTATGCATGGACATTAGTTTGTAAAGAAGTATGTTTGATTGTCTAGAGACTTATTTTGTTCTTGCTCAACATTGTGCAGCTCGACCACTTATGATCAGGCAATACCCTGCTATAGTGTGGAGATGATAATTGTGACAATAGTTATTGTTTATACTTTACTATCTATTGATAATTACAGAAATGGACACAGCAACATAATATGAGAGCAAGGAACATGATCAGGCAGTTAGGATCCTTTGACAGACAATTAGGAGGTCAGGGGTCAGTCAGCAGAGTAACGTGTGTCTGCGTGAGTCTGTTTGTTTGCATGCATGTCAGTAGATGAAGAAGGGTAAATGACACATTCAAATGTGTGCTTCCTGCTTTCTTAAAGGAGAATGTTTGTCTGCTGAATGACCCTGAGTCAGTGGATGAAGAGGAAGATGAAGAAGTGGCGGAGGTTCCACGCCTATCCTGGTGGAGAACACCCCACAATGCTTTCTACAATGCTTACCCAGAACATCAGGGTCTTTCCAGATGTGACACACACACACACACACACACACAGACAGACAGACAGACACAGACACACACACTGACTGACCCCTGACCTCCTCATTGTATCTCAAACGACCCTAACTGCCTGATCATGTTCGTCTCGCTCATAATATATTCTTGTGTCCATTTCCAAAATGTGGTGAAACATTTTTTACCCCCCAAAATAAAAAGTAATGCCACATAGAGGGTGAACACGTGGTAACTGGATGTTGAATAACAGACAACGTTCCTCAGATGTCCCCTACTACCAGAGAAAGCACTAGAAACAACCACCACGCCGCTGCTTACATGAAATACTGTGTCTCGCTGTCCTGATCTGGTAGACATTAACATCTGCTCGGGGGAAGCCCTCTGCGTCCACCAGGACACCTTCTACTCCGACCCCTTGCTGTAAACATGAAGTAACGTGAACGTTAGAGAAAGCCATGTTTACTACATTAACACTGTAAGTTAATGGCTGTATCCGTGGGTTAGCTTTGAGCAGCGTGTGCGTCTCACTAACAGACTTACGTCTTCCAACACGTCGTAATAAGCCTTTATCTGTTCTTCAATTTCATCTTTCGTTTTAACGAGGTTTTTTACATCATCCATTGTTGTTTCCGCCTTTCCAGCACTGTTTTCTCCCGTCATCTTCATGGTTGCGCGTACATCCGGGACCTAACCTCCAACGTCATAGGTGGTGTTCTTCTTCGCCGTCTTCTTTGCGGAAGGTTTACGTCAGTGTACGCACTTTACTGCCCCCAGCTGGTCGATGAAAAAAATGAAATTACACGAAATCTAGCTTTTTCTGTTTCGTTTACAAGAGGATCTTATTAATGTAGAGGATGTTCACAGTAAGTATTTAGTTCCTGCATGGGAGACAAACATTAAATAATAAAAGCAATTGACTAGAACTATAAGTGGTCGTACTTACAAGGTAGATGGGTAGGTTACAGGAAGTAGGTATGCTCTCCTATATATTGCAATTCCTATATATTTGGCTGATAGGAACACTGTACACCACTGACTGTTAGTACTCAAGCAGTGGAAGAGTATTTCCGTTCTCATATTTAAGTTTTTCCTTAAAATAATGAGAAGTTTTTCGTGACACGATCACCAACACTAAACATAAACTCTGTTCCACTTCCCACAGCAAAACACCGTTCAACTCATTAAATAAGTACAAGTTTATATTCAATATTCAAAAACACATCAAAATCAGTCAAGGATTTGATTCAACCAAGTATTTTAATATTTGACTCCTGTTTGCAAACAAGCAACTAAAAATTTAGTGTCGACCAAATGTTTGTTTTCTCAAACATTTAAATAAAAAAACACAAAACACATTTAAATCAATTTTATTATTATATTGGGTACAACAATTGATCATAACATTGAACTCCATCATTTCTTCATAAACCTTAACAGTTGTAAACAGCAAATACCTTCAGTACACTAATGCAGATGGCAAAATGTGTTTCAAATAGTTTTGCACCAGTTAATTCATCTTCAAGGCAGCATGTTGTGAACAGCGCCACAGCTCTGAAACATGGTTCAACTCAATACACCCCCTGACTTGTAGTGGTCTATATTTGCCATTTCACATTTTCTCCTGTAGCATAATATTTATTTCACAGCAGTCTACATCGAGGCACATTGGTATAAACTACTAGTGAATATTAAATAAGCACTGTTGAAGTGTTACACGACAGCCCCAAGTGCTGTGTATCCTGAGTGCTTCAATAGGAATATCTGTTATTATATATTGGAATGTATTTCGAATGGCCTTCATCCTCAAACAGGATACAAGTGCAAATCTTTATCAAAGTCATTAAAGACCCTGTGTGCGCTCTCTGTGATAACGAATGCAAAAAGCTTTCCTTCAAGAAGTTTTCCTTCATGTTCAACTGGCTGACAAATCCCAGTTTAATGCGGCTGCAATGTGTGCAAGTGTGACCTTGGAATATAAATCGGTTTGTTTGAAAGCCGACAAATTAGTGCTGATGATGTTAAAAAAAGGTCCAGTACCAGAACAAGCGTTAACATAGCTAACAGTCTGTATCTTGTGTTCCTGCAGGTTGATCCGCGAGCACCAGGACGGACTCGTCTTTGTCGTCCTCTTGTGGTGATGCATTGTGAGATGAGGATGAAGAAACCTGCGAGAGCTCGCCCTGAGCTGCTACCTCCTTCTGCACCAGAGCAAACTGGGCTGTGGCCTCATCCAGCTGTGAATGAACAGCTTTGACCCAATTTTGGAGCTGCACGTTGAGAGCATCCATCCCTTGGTCCAGCTTCTCCTGCCTGCCTTTGAGCTCGACTAACAGATGTTGTGCGTCGCCGGCAACCTGCTGCCTCTTTCCTTCAGAGGGAGCACGCTGACGCAGCATGTAGCCGTCAAACTCCGCTGGACTGAGGTTGAGCGCTGGTCCATCCAGCTTTTCAATGAAGGCCACTGCACAAGACTAAAGCAGAGGACAAAGGGGGGCATGAGTGACAAACTGACCCTGTCACACAGTACGCCGGATGAGCAAACTTTGCAATAAACTTACCAAATTTGTGAAATAGTAGCCGCTCTCTCCTGCCATCAGACTGTGAGGGAGACCAAAACGAATCACATATTGCATGTTGGAGTGCAGGCGAGGTGGATTGGCCTTCAGCACCACGTAAACCAAAGCTGACAGGAAGTCATCGGCATTAGCGGGCTCACTGTTCGAGGTGGAGAGCGCTTCAAAGACGTGCTGACTGCATTTGGACACGCATGCAAGTTTGTCCTGAGGCGCTCGTTTGGCATCCATTTCAATTATAGCTGTAAAAAAAAAAAAGAAGAACAAAAAGGTTAAAGACCGCAGCACCTTTTCATGATGCTCGCAGCGTGTGGCAAACTCTTAAAGGAATAGTTCAACATTTTGGGAAATATACTTTCTGGCAGTGAGTTAGATCAGAAGATCAATACCACTCTCATGTCTGTCCATAAAATACAAGTCCAAAGGTAAGAGCATCACCTCTGAAGCTCACTCACGTAGTATTGTGTTTGTTTAACTAGTAGAAAAACTGTGTGTTTACGGTGAACTATGTGGGCTTATATTTAACGGTGAGCGTAACATTGCTCTTCTAATTAGAAAGCAAATAAAGCATATTTCCCAAAACGATGAATGATTCCTTTCAGTCCTGAAGTTGTGAATCACCTGTGATGGCGGACAGGAAGGGGTCGCCGGTGACTGCAGTCTTTTTATCAGGGAAAGGTACACTCAGCATCTGCGGAGTGATCCAGTTCAAAGATCTGCAAAGTAAAGACATCGGCGTCAAACGTGGGCTTTAAATTCAAGGTTTTGATGAAATACAACCCACAACTGCGCATATATACATATAAATGTTTGACGAAAGTGCACATTAGATTTGTGATCTCTATCTATCTAGATAGATAGATACACACATATACATATACA